AAGTGCGACACGAGTATGACATTACACAAGTTCTATTAATATTTTATGATAAGTCTAGTCATAAAATATTAATGTAACTCTAAAATCTTAAATTTATTCGAATCGCAACCATTTCACCTGCTGATTTTTATTGCTTTGTTACTAGTTTTCACTGGTAGAGGTAATATAATATATAATATTTTTTTATTTAGTCGTCTGAGAACTGTCCAACCGGCTACCGTGCTTTTTTGATTAATTTCACCAAATTTGTTACTAAATGTTAGATTTACTCAATGAGTAAATAGATTATTTATTGAACATACAAATCGATTGTAATATTTAATACTTAGGGTCGTGCAAAGTAATAAGAAATTAATATCATTCTCACTCAGTAAGAGAAGGTGTGGTCCTGCATTCTATTTAAATTAACGAGACTTAGGTTGGACTCTCCTATTCTCATTAATCTTTGCAGTGTACGGAAATGCCAGCGCCACAGTCTATTTCTAAAGTACACAAAGTAGATAACCAATTCTATCTACTTTTCACACTACACGCATTCAGATATTAATCCATCCCGATCATCACTTTTCCATAACGCTAACAAACCCAAGGTAAAATTAAGGATAATTGCTCGCAGATGATAGTGATTGATGATTAGTCCATTAATTTGCTTCACTTTATCTATTGCTAGATAAACTCATGACTATTGTCCTCCCATTTTATCTGTACACATCTCTGTTTCCCTAATCATCCAACATTAGATAACTATAATGCTACGTTATTTATACTGAGAATAATAAAATTATTATACATATGTGATTCGTTTTTCTCTTCCCAGGGTTGTTGGACAAGAAAATCATCATCCACCAAGATCTTTACAGCCGAAGGGGTATACAGAGGCTTATTAAACGCCCACATATTGCCGACTATATTTCTAGTCTCACCTACGTAACAGGAGACAAGGCTATTGATGTCATATCATATTTGCCTTAATATTTACCTATTATATAATATGTAAATATTCCTCAAAACTTCTGGTTCAGCAGTCAGTATTGCTAACCACTAGACCAATAGACCCGCTCAACTTCGACTATCTCTTAAAAAGAATACATTTTCTCCGTTTTTTCAACATTTTTCATTGATGCTCCTTTAGGTCGTAGCGTGATGTTATATAGCTTATAGCCTTCCTCGATAAATGGGCCATCCAACTTTAAAATATTATTTTTAATTCGAATCAGTGGTTTTTCTCTCTGCCTAAGTTTTAGTTTGTGTGAATAATATTGTATTTAGACACGGCACTAATGCACACATCACATCGCACACATCAACAGCCTTTAATGGTCCACTGCAGGACATAGGCCTCTCCTTAGAAAGGAGGTTTTGGCCTTACTATACCACGCTGGCCAGACGGGTTGGCATAGGGTTTGTGTCTAGTTTTTCTTCTCTGTGCAGTGTTGTTGTTCTGCGTAATTTTTCCTTAGTCGGCTCATACGACACCCACGGGATTAATAGGGTTGGTGACACTCTATATTCTTAATTCGTCACCACACGGACCATAATGCATAATGATCAAAATTATTATAGAATGATTGTTATGATTCAGCTATACAGATGCCAAGAGCATAGAAATTATTTTTTATGCAAAGCATGATTATAACACAGCAACACAATTCACCTTGAAATGGCAATGAACTATGGTTTACACAGTAGTTGGTATTTGCTATTTGTTAGACATCAAAAGACTCATTATTTTATTGCTAATCACAAATTAAGAAAAGAATATCTTAAAAGATGGCTATTAAATAGACTTTATAAGGATGATAATTGTATTTTAATGTCGTTGGAGGATCAAACTTTATACTACCTAGTAACATCAAAGTAGGATGTTATATTAGCATCAACAACAATGTCCGCTTGTGTTCATGAACAAAAGTCAGTTAGTTATAAGCAAGGACTTAAACTAACCGACTTTTCATATTGTTGAAAATGGAAAATATATGTATATACATCAATATTTTATCATTGTATTTTAACTCAAGTTTATGTCATGCCGGATGGCGTAGTGGTTTGTGTAACGGACTGCTATTCCAAAGGTCGCGGGTTCGATTCCCGCTCAAGTCAAACATTTGTGTGCATGAACATTTGATGTTTGATTTGGTCTGGGTGTTTCTATGTATAATATGTATGTATTTAAAAAAAAGAAGTATATATGTATTTATATCAGTTGTCTAGTACCCATAGTACAAGCTCTGCTTAGTTTGGGACTAGATGGCGTTGTGTGTATGTGGTAGGATATTATATTATATTATTATTATTATTATTATACACTACTGATAAAAAACACAGATTTACTTTTGAATAATTAAATACATGTGTTTTCATACAACTTTTAAAGTATAAAAGTAATAAATTACTTTTAAGACAGTACTTAGTACAATCAGAAGTTATGAGTCTGCTAATCTGTGCATTTAAAAAGTAAAAATTACATTTGATAATACTAACTGCTGTCGTTTCTCCCAGCTTAAAAAAATATGCAAAAAGAAAATAACAACTGGCAGAGCCTATATTCATCAAAGTAATAAAACTATATAAATATTTACAAAAATATTTGATTGTACTGTAAAAAGACTTTTTCTAAAAATACTTCTTGTAATAAGTTTTTATTGGTAAAATTGAAGTGGATATATATTAAAATCTACCACCATTTTTAAAGGCCATTACAGGGTTGTGTAAAAAGGGTGCTTGGCTCGGCTTGCGTGAGCTTGTCGTCGATCGGAAATAGTGTCAGTTTTTTAATACAGATCAAAGAAGGCTTGCGGCAAGCGTTTGCGACGTATTTACATGTTGGCTCTTGCTTATTCTCCACTGCTCAATGTGATATTAGTTGAGCAGTTGGGAACCAACATTAAGTCTCAATGCTCTACTAGTTGAGCAATAAGACTAGATGACAGCAGATGCAGCTATGTTTTGCCTGTCCAGAGCACACTAAGACACTCTCAAGCGTGTAAATAGCATTCAAGCGTTTGTAAAGGCTTGAAGCTTGTGGATGTTTTCCAAGCCTCAGCACACATGTAAACTAGGCATTACAAGACCTTTTGTATTGTAAAATATAGTATATAATGATCAGCTGTGAGCACATAAGGAGGTAATGATCTTATGAAAACTAACATTAGAGGCAAGGTGACGGCTTAACCTCAATGTCATTCGTGCAATCACTTAATAAACAGAGACATCGAACAAAAGATTATGCTCATCAATTATTGCATTCAATACCCTCCCTTAATTATTTTCCCTAGATGGAAATCAAAACTGCAAAAACATTAATAAAATCAGACATTTTTTTTATATGTAAAACCATTGTTGTGTAACACACAAGATCGGCAGCCAGGTCGGCAATAATCGTTTGGCTAACTAACACAAAGGTAATGGCAGCTGAAATGGCAATAATCGATGGTCTGACCAACACAAAGGTAATTGCAGCTGGTAGACAATTAATACAAGGACTAACTTCCACAAAGGTAATGGCAGGTGGAATGGTGATTATCAATGGTCTAACCAACACAAAGGTAATGGCAGCAGGTAGGGCAATAATTGTTGAGCTGACCAACTATTTAATCTACTTTGTGCTGACTAACACAAAGGTAATTTTAGCTAGTAGGACAATATTCCATAGACTAACCAACACAAAGTTAAAGGCAAGTTGTATGGCAATAATCCATGGGTTGAACAACACAAAGGTAATGGCAGCTGGCACTGCATAAATGCCTAAGCTGACTTATAGGCACATTGCCTACATCTCTGCCATTATGTAATTGGTTACCATATTTTGATTCTCATAATGTGCCATTTAAATTAAATGATATATTAATTACACTAAAACATCAGATGGTTCAGTAAAATGATCTTACTACCAAAAATCTAGTCATTATATGACTTTTATATTTACAAATTACTCGGGTACCTTTTCATGTCATTTACCCAACAACAAGCTTTTGTTAGTGGGTTCAAACTTCCAAGCAACAACCAGTTTGAGTGACAGCTATGCAACTTTGATCATTACGAGATATTACCTGCACTCTCCCATCCATATAAGTAATATTTATTATTATTTTTATTTAAAAAAGACAACTCCTACATTAGGTGTGTCGCAGAACATGCACGAAACAGTTAGACAAACACCCAGACTCAGAACAGCAATTTGTGGATCAATTTGCTATTAAACGCTATCTGTGCCACCTTTTCCATTGTCCTTATTACATGATACATGTGTATTTTTGTAAGAAATTGTACATTTAAACAATTTTTCATTCACGATACTTTACTTTCACCTATGAGGTTTTTTTGCTAATTTCATACTTAGTATGTATTTACTGTTTTGTTATACTTAGTCTACTAATAGTTAAAATGCAAATGTAACACAGATCATGGTAGTCTCATGTATAATGCGATTAGCACTCAATGCCAAATGTAATAGTAATAATTACGAAGTTAAGTAAGTAAAGTCAAGTTACAAATACATTGTGGCAAAGTTATGACCAATTTAATAACACGTGAAATGTTACATGTGAGAATGTAATGTTAAAAGTAATATCCATTTTCACAGTATTACAACAAAAACTTGCGAAATTGTGTTAGACTAAATGCAATTATAATATTAGAGTCATTTTTGTCTGCCATTTTATAGGAGGAGACCTTGTGAAATAACACGCGCATTTTAAATATGAATATAACAGGAATAATTCTAAATAAGTACGTGTCGTTGTTTTATGTCGATTTCAAGATATAATAGTAAAGCCATCATTTATTTCCGAGTGTTGTTACAAAATATACGATCAGCTGATTTCTTTGTTTGACTGCTGCAACGCTTGTCGCCACAGTATGTGCTTTATGACACGTCAGACGCCTTACAAATCAAGTAAAACTACGTAAAACTCTGGTCAACTAAATAACAATACCTTCAAATTGCATTGACGAAGAGTTTACCGATTTGTAATCCATAAACAAACCTTGAAAGTTCTTACCTTTGTAATGGACTCGTAGATTATTTTGCGACAACCCGATATAGCTGAATTTGTCTTTAGTACTCCATGATCTTGGTAAAGGTGTTTCCTCTTCGTTCACATTAGGATATAGCAATTTTAAACGATCTACTGTATCACTTTGCACTTGGTTTTGGGAATCCATAGCTCCCCGTCCACTACCTATCGCAGCCATTTCTATTCTATAATTTCATGTCATGTCAGTGACGTCACATTAGCATTTTATGTTTTCAAAGCTTCCACAAGGAGGCAGCACAAGTTTGATGCCATAGACAAAACCGTAAAGTGCTTTATACTATAAACCTCGTAAGCTCTACGATATTTGAAATCTTGTGCAACATGCATAAGCTTGTTTAATTTAAATCCTTTCTTTCTCAAATAGGTCCTCAAAGACCTAATAATTTTTATTTCGAAAAACACTAACCATGCACAGATGAATACTTAACAATCTTGTGTGTATCAATGTTGATAATGAAATAGAATGATTGTCACCACAACAAACCACTTCAAAATCTTATCTTTGAAGTAGTACAGCCATTGTGGCTTCAATAAATAACAGTAAACTAAAAATATGGCTAGTGTGCCTAAATTTGTAAAAGAAATTGAAATAAATGTATCTCATAAACTTCTGAAAATTGAGAAAACTAATAGTGAGTTATTAGAACCTCAACAACTGCACTGTGATAAAATTTTAGAGGTAATTCATAATTTTATCTATCCAAGCAATTCATGTTTTTTAAATTTACCTTTTAACTCTATTTTATGACAAACATTTATTACTTAAACACTGTGTTCCACAGATTTACCAAGAAGCGTTCAATAAGTTAATAACAGGGACAATTACTTTTTCAAAACTTCTCACTGAAATCAAAGACGCATATGAATGTTCTATACAAATTCGTGACAAACGTATATCACAATTCATTATTCAAGACGTAAGTGTAAATCTGTGAGTTTGGTTTTTCTGTGCCCATAAAGAATGTAACTGAACAGAAGCTGGATAAGTGTTCCTATCACGGTCCGATATCATATGGCACAAACGATAATTAGGCAAAACAGGAAATCAGATCACCAACCAATTGAAGCGATTGCATTTATAAAGTCCCCAACCTTTTCGTTCTTAAGTCGATTGATACTGAAAGGAACCTTTCCAATTTCTGCACTGCTATTTTAATGTCATTGTGTCTAGGTTTTGATTTTGACACTTTCTTACTTTGACATATTTTTGTTTTTATAATAGTCGGATTCGGATGTTATACTTATGTATTTATAGTTAGTTGTTTTGTTGCGTTTGGCTTATAGTAAAGTCATTGAGGTTTATCAGTATTACTCTGCCCTCCACTATACAAAGCCGTTACACACAGACTTAAGTTTTAACTGGCTATTTTGTGAAGTTGCTTCTTTAGCTAGAAAAATCTATTGAATACTATGTTATCTTCCGGAAAACCATCGACCGTATATATTTTAGACGCAGGATTTTCTGGTCAATTGTCGCGTCATGTAGGAACCAGCCCGGATGGCCATCCACTGTGGTGTTCAAAGTTCCTTCAAACAAATCCTGATGATGTTTTCAAGACACATCTCGACTTTCTGCGAGCCGGTTCAGATATTATTTCGACTAATACATATCAAGCTTCTGTCGACGGCTTTGTTAAATATCTCGGTGTTACGTCTGAAGAAGGTTATGGTATCATAACGCGCGCAGTAGACCTCGCAAAGCGCGCGCGTGAAGTTTACAACAATGAATGTCAACAAGGTAATAAACCAGTTCGTAATATTCAAATTTCCGGTTCAATTGGCCCCTACGGTGCATATCTTCACGATGGCTCTGAATATGATGGCAGTTATGCAGACAAAGTCAGTGTTGAGGAGATGAAAGAGTGGCATGCTCCTAGGCTTAGAGCGTTAGTTACAGCAGGAGTTGATCTCATAGCTTTTGAAACCCTCCCCTGTCGTAAGGAAGCTGAAGTATTAGTAGAGATGTTAAAGGAGTATCCACATATGAAGGGATATCTGTCATTCAGCTGTAAAGATGAAAATTCTCTAGCCAATGGAGAAGACTTCAAGACAGTTATAAAGAAATGTTGGGACATGAACCCCACCCAGTTGATAGCTGTTGGAGTGAACTGCTGTCCTCCTACAATAGTAGCTAAACTGATTAAGGGTATTAATGATGACAGGCAGTCCAAGATCCCCTTTATTACATATCCTAACTCAGGGGAGAAGTATAAACCAAAAGAAGGATGGGTTGAGGCAGAAAAGTGTAAACCTCTTGCTAACTTTGTTGAGGAGTATTTAGACCTAGGGGTCAGGTACATTGGTGGTTGTTGCCGAACATATGACACAGATATAGTTCAAATTAAAGAGCAGGTTCAAATTTGGTTAGAGAATGAGTCTAAATGTGAAGGTAAATAGCAGTATTTTATATTATAAAGACCGGGTGGAGTAGTGGTTTGTGTACAGGACTGCTATTCCAAAGGTTGCAGGTTCAATTTCCGCTCAAGTCAAACATTTTTGTGCATGAACATTTAATGTTTGATTTGGTCTGGGTGTTTCTATGTATGTATTTATGAAAAAAAAAGTAGTAGTATAATAGTACAAGCTCCGCTTAGTTTGGGACTAGATGGCGTTTCATCAATCATCAACAGCCTATACTAGTCCACTGCTGGACATAGGCCTCTCCTTAGAAAGGAGGTTTTGGCCTACTATACCACGCTGGCCAGACGGGTTGGTATAGGGTTTGTTTCAAGTTTTCCTTCTCTTTGCAGTGCTGTTGTCCTGCTTAGTTTGCTCCCTTAGTCGCCTCTTACGACACCCACGGGATGAATTGGGGTGGTAACAATTTGTATTCTTAATCCGTCACCACACGGACACATAAATAAATATATGGCGTTTACACATAAATAAATATATCAATATTAATAAATAGCAACTGTACACATATAGTGTGTGCAATAAGGATATGGTATATGTGTACAGCCATATATATACATGTTATATAATATATATCAACATATTTTTCATTATGTAACTATCAGTTAATGTATACTTATATATTACTATATATTAACTGATAGTTACATAATGCTACTGCTACTGCCGTTATCATGTTTGTTATTATTAAATATTTTAAATACTATAAACATTTTGTTACTTCTCACCTATCAATTCTGAGTAAATTACAATAACATCTATGTATCTTTTGAAGCCTTGGCACACTAGATGATGCAATACAATGGGCCTGTTGGTATAGTGGTTAGTACCCCTGACTGCTCGTTAGATAGCTGATAAAACGTAGATATTTTTAAAAAAATCTGCCGAACAATTACCATAATATTGTTTTTAGATATCCGTTAGAGAAAAATATTTTTCTAATTCAATTCAATTCCAATTCAAATTATTTATTTCGGACTATTACATCCATATAGTGTTAGTAACTAATATTATTTTTTATTTCTTTACTTTCACTTGTCTACTACGGTCTATTCAATTAACTTATGCACTATATTAATGATTGACATCCTAAAGCATCTTATTACACATGTAAAAATGCAAGATACACAAAAAAACAAAAATAAATTTAGTAGCCTAAAAATCAGCAATTTTCAATAAAAAAATTAAAAGTCGAATATCTCGAAAAGGGTTAAGTTTAGGGTAGGGTGTTTCATAGTGAAATAAGTCAGAAATGATGGGTACTCCACACCCTTAACGGATCTAGCACGATTTTTCTTGTAACCCTGTATAAATATATAAAAATACTAAATTAACAATATGCAATTTAGGGGGAAAATTTAAATATGTCGTATTTATAGGAGAGTAAATAAATTGTCAGGTCTCTTAGTCTGACAGATAGTGATCCTCATTGCCAGTGGTCATTGGTTCAATTCCCACATGGGACAAATATTGTATGATGAGGAACATCATTTGTTCTGTGTCTGTCTGTATAGTTTATCTAAAATTATGTATGTATTTAGAAGTTTATGTTAGAATGATGTTTGTTTGTTGTTAAGAATGTTTATCAGCAGTCTTGTTACACACACACTTGCCTAGTTTGGGATCAGATGGCTGTGTGTCATATGTCAGGGTAATATTATTATTTAACAACTAATATGGTGTTTACAGAGAGTCTTTGGTATATCAGCAAAAAAGAAACAAAATTATGACAAAATTAAAAAGATGTTAAAAGAAAATGAGGATTTAAGAGAGAACAACCTGAAACTGACATTTGAAATTTCGAAACTTAAGAAAGATATGGGAAAGGTTGGTTGATGGGTACTATTGGTGATGTGAAGTTTCTGTGATCACGTGTCTGATGTCAAAGGGTGAAGCGAAGCGAGTGTAATTATTTGAGTTGTAAGTTGCGTAGAATGATTTGCATTCAGTTTCATACTAAAGTCCTGTTTGTTCTACACCGCAGAGCTCTCTGCTCACGAGCATTTTTTCAACCGAGTTGCCTTCAGGGTGATGGAGGCGAGCGTGTATGAACCTTAGATAGCAAAGGAAGTTAGTTAGTAGTTAGCAAGCGAATTTCAGTTAAACGTAAATTGCGCAACTTAAAATACGCGACTTACGTCTCATTAAAACTTTCTCGCCCTCACCACCTCACGCTTGGCCTCATCCTTTCTTGTTTTTTATGTCTAAAATCTCACATAATTCATAGGGCATCCTATCATCCAGAGACAATGTGAACAATGCATGATGTGATTAAAGCTCCTTTCTCAGCATAGACCTAATAACAGAGGCATTGTTTCGTCTACTTGATTCAACTCTGACATCTCTGCCTTTTTTTCTTTTTTGTTTTAAAGACAAATTCCGCAGTAGGGATATATCCTGTGTCGAGGTGGACTTTACAAACATATAGTAAACAGACTCAAAGAACACCCAGGCTCAGGACAACCAATTCAAAAAGAATTTTTACTGCATGGCGTAGTGGTTTAAGCGGTCACCTCGCCGCTTCCTAATGCGTCGAGTGTTGTGGGTTCGGTCCCCACATGGAACAACACTTTGTGTGATTCACAAATTATTGTTCTGAGTCTGGATGTTCTTTCTGTTCGTTTCATGTATGTTTGTCAAGTCCCCCGCGATACAGGATATATTCCTAACGTAGGGGTTGTCTTTTTAATGAGAAAAAAAAAGAATTAGGTTCAGCGAGTTTATGTAAATCTTCTTATATAATTTCCATCGCCATTTCTATCCAATTTATCGCTATGCTTTATAATTACGTCATTGATAATGTAGACATGAAATTGCAATTATCTGCTTTGTCGTAAAGACCTGCGATATTTAATAGCAACAAATTGACGTGGCCATGTTGGTTAATGAGGGTTTTCTAAAATGTTCCACGTGAGATGGCAGTACTGTAGCGTCAGGTCCAACCACCTGTCAAAACACATACACGATTTGTATTTTTCGATCATTTTTTTTGGTTTATTCATTCTTAAAAACGTTACAAAAGGAATTTTGTTTTCTAAAATGCCACAGTGTTGTGCAGTGCCTGTGTGCAAATAAAAATTTTGCGCCTCTCTTTTTGAGCTCAATTCTCAGTTTGGCAACCTTTCTCTGGCCGTAATCTATAATAAACTCAATAACACTTCCAAATTCATAGAATTTTACTAAAATATTATACGTTCGGTAAGAATCTGTGCTATCTGACAGCTGTTTGGACCTGACGCATACGAAGCGCCGTCTGGTGGCAGAAAAAATATAGAAAATCCTCATTAGCCAGAAGTAATAAGTATATTTTATAGTTAAATTTAGTATTAATTAGGTATTAGCAATTGCGTTTTTCGAAATCTAAAATACCTACATTTTTCACTGGTCTTACAACGATTGAACATAAATACTTTTTATGGTATAAAAGGTATACTCGCAGACAGGTCCAGGTGACCTGTTACGAGTGTCGCCGCCAATGAAAACTTGCAACTTAGTGCGTTATCGCCCTTGCGAGTGCTCTCCGAACACCGAATCAGGAGCAGGAACGAGTTGCAATTAGATCCTTGATGCTTACACGCCTCTTAAGTTTATAAGTTTATGAAATGTTAGTCCCCAGTCCCACTGGACTAAAAATTAAACAACCAACCAACAACCAGAACTTTCAGCCGTACCGTACCGTAAAGATATTGGTGACTCAATTTACGAACAAAAACCACAAACCAATAATGCTGTCTGGCCACGGTTTTTAAGTAATTAACCACTGTTGACTGCTCGGTTGGCACAGTGGTTAAAATGTTCGCATCGGCACATAATAAGTGTGTGTGTGAATGAGTTCGATTTCACTAACCTTGAGACAAAAATTTGTGGAATTCACAGATAGTTTTCCCGAGCCTGGGTGTTCTTTGTGCCTGGGTGTCCTGCGTTTGAATATTTTCAAAATAACCCTTTTTTACCTGTGCGGAGAACCCCTCCAATACCATCCACCGGTGGAGTGCTTATGTCGGACTCGAACCTACCAAAAACCGGGTACTAGTAGCCGGGGAACCAGTTGTACCCTAGAAAGTTACGAAGTCCCGCTCGAGAAAGAAAACATTCCTAATATCTAGCATTTTTTTTTAAAATATATCCCTACATTTATTTAATTGGCAGGCTGATTTGGATATATAAATTCACTGTTTTTGTTTTCCATGTGAGATCGAACTGTAATTTTGATGAAAGTCACCATTACAAAACAAATCAAAATCTACCGTTACCTACTGCGGTTATTGTGCATTATCATTGACGTAATCGTTATTGAATGACATTCTATATGCATTTTATATTTTGTACATCTATTTATACTTTTAATATCAATCCCTTGACATACTTAACAAATTGAAGCAATAGATTGAACAAAAATCCTCTCAGTATCATATCATAATGCCAGAAAATGCATCATATCATTAGCATATACTTACATCTAAATTTAATTCTAAATCTTTTCTGTTAAAAGCCAAACAAGCAGAAAAATAAAACCCTAATTCTGGCTGAGTTGAGTAAAAAGTTTTGAAATGCCCTATGACTAAATCTCAACTCCGAACTATTTATTAGCATAAACTTTATTCGACTTGACGCTATTAAATAATCTCAATGCCTCTGAGGTCTGCAAACATCTTTATCTCAACAAGATAATCCAAATTTAACACTTCTTAAGCTATCTGATGACAACTTCTCGGACTACCTGTCACTAATGCGAGAGAGGGACGCCCGTTATACGCTGTACTTCGAGAACCTGGCGTTGCATATGAAGATCAAGGAATTAGATGGAAGCTCATACCAGGTCGACGAAGCATATGGAGATCCGGTAGTACTGAGAATAGCTTTAGATAGGTGCAGGTATGAACAAAAATGTTACACCTAAAGGTAGCTTAAAACTTGCACTAGTCAGTCGTCACGGAGAAAGAAACAATTCCGAACGTCTATAAACTAGCTTAATATGTAGATAGATAGATAACTCTTCATGGTTCAACAAAAAAAAACAATAGCAGAATAGTTTGTATACATTTGTATAAGTCTTATGATCTAAGGACAGTTAAAAAAGTCGCCAATTGGCGGCCTTTTCACGATTTGCGATCCCTTCCAGGCAACCATATGTATTCCGTTGCTTAGAGAAATCTTGGGCAAGATTAAAACCTATACCTGTATTACTACATAAGTTTAATTTTAATTACATATTAAAGAACTCCTGCACTAAACCACTCGAACTTACTTGATGCTAAAACTTGCGTGCCTATTTACAACCGTGCCGATACGGAAAAAACAGAAGTATAAAGTACTTTGGTTATCTGGTATATGTCATCACTACGTAGTATAACACTTTGTAGCATACATATGTTGTTTTTTGTTTTTTTAAAGACAACTCCCGCATTAGGAATATATCCTGTGTCGCGGGGGACTTTACAAACATACATGAACCGGACACAAAGAACATCCAGACTTAGAACCACAATGTGTGCATCACACAAAGTGTCGTACCCTGTGGGGTTTGAACCCACAACACTCGGTGTAGTAGGAAACGGCGTGGCGACCGCTTAAACCACTACGCCATCCGTGCAGTCTCTATCTATATCTGGTTGATTTTTAGGGAACAGCTGTCAAAAACGCAACTAGATCTCAACAAAAAGAACGATGAATACGCGGATACAGTTCCCAGGCGTCAATACGATACTCTGGAAACAAAATACTTTGGCCTCGTCAAGGCGTTTGATTCACTAAAACAAGAACATGGAGCTCTTCAAGAGAACTACAATCGGCTGTTGGGTTCGTACTCTGTTGCCAATTTTATTTTGATGTTACCGAAAAAGTAGCCACTGTGGGTGCCCCTAGTGTAGGGCTAGTCCATACACTTTTCGACCCTGAATGACTCAATCAGTAACTAAATATTTGTTCTATGTTTAGAAACTTACAGACTCTTTGTGGTCTCTTGAAATTTCACCCATTAATTAAGTCCACAGTAGATAAACTTTGAAAGTAAAGTTAAAATAGAATAGAATCCTGCAGGCATCTGCTAAACTAAATAAATCAGATTTTTCTTACAAAAGATGGAATCTTTGTTGGTCGTATTGGAAACTTGCATCCTATTTACAACTTTTTCATAAGTTGAGTTTAAGTCTGAAAACTACAACTATATGATAATCATTCTTGTAGCATCGAAGACATCCATCAAAGAGGAGTTGTGCGAGACAAAAGAACGTTGTAATGAATTGGAACGCGCCGGTACTCCACGGCCACGGTGGGAACTGTGTGCTGATTTCATCGGAGGTGGACGAGATAGGTATACCTGACAACTACATACTTCCTTCTTATAGTACAAAGATACCTACGAAAAACGTGTGTCAGTTAGAGATTGGTAGACGGAACGACTCCTCAGCCGCTGCCAGAACCAAATATATGTACATGTTTCCTCAAAGAAATGAACTAGGTTGACTTTCATGGTTTAAGCGCAAAAAAAAACTAAAATTAACTAATTACCTAAAGGAAGTTATCTTTTTTTACAATTCTTATAATATTTTCATCTCTTCTTTTTTATTCTTCTTGTCTCATGTTTCCAGGGTGAAGCAAAAGGGTGTCCTTTCGTGTGCTTCATTCTGAAAAAGCCAGCAACCCCATTTTTTAAATTATATAAGTTTTAATTTTAAAATAAATATTCTTTAGATGGCGGCAGTTAGCGAGTAATCTCTCATCACGGGACATTCTAAGAGTGTTATTAAAGGAACTGGGTCCAGCAGCCGAAGGAGATAACTTGGAACACTTCGATGGACTTGTATGAACTTTTTAAACACCCTAAACTTATTAACCTATTATGCGGCAACACTAATTCTGCACTCAAATTTTCTCCAGGGTATAGATCCAATCATACCTCCATACTTGAGGTATGAAGGTAAGGTGCGCAATCTGCGTCTGTCCCGGCGAGAAATAAGTGTGATCATCAATGATATCTGGCTTGGCAAGAAGGATCATATCCAGGACATATCAATGCAAGACTATGTTACAAAGTATTTCGAAGATAGGTTTGTTACATTTTTTTAGGGCTGCACCACTCGGTTCGACATTGAATTTTAATGTTCCATGGTATAGATTTCTTCCTTTTCGCTTGAATTGAATATGTATTTTTAGAATAAAGGTGATTTTTCATAAATATTTCCTCTATAACGTACGCTAAAATGAAAATTTTATCAACTTACTATACCTACTTAAAACTTCCGTCTAACTGTGCAGGTATCAGCAACCATCAGTGCGCGCCGAATGGGCTTACAATCTCTGTGCTGGAGTGGAGCAGATGCTGGATGAACCACAAGTAAAACTATTCTGGGGTGTGCTACACGGTCATCTTAGTGAACACATCTATTGGGGACATCAAAACCAATGGCAGTCATTAAAAGAGCAACTGTATAAACATAGCAAAGACAAAGAGGTAGAGATTTTTTAATTAGTCTAGTTTTTTTGCCTGTGTTTTTGTACATTAGAAAGTTTGCCGTGTCGTCGACGTCAAGCTGAGTATGTTTAAAACCGTGGATTTAACAGACTCAGACACCTGGGTCTGACAAAGGCACAAAGGCGAGGGATCGCACTCCAAATTATGGGATCAATTAGTGAGCCTCTATTAGCAGCCCCATGCGACAGGATCCTAAAACACCATATCTTCACAAGGAGATATCACATTCTGACACAAGAAAATGACAGAGATCATTCTGGAATAAATGAAGTCCGAATTTACACGGACGGTTCCAAGACTGGGTCAGGGACTGGAGCCGGAGTTTTCTTACAAGACCTAAACATGAACATATCACCAGCGTTAGGCCAACACAATTCTATATTCCAATGCGAATGTGTGGCAATAACTTACGCCGCCACAACGGCCATGTTACAGGGTATTAAGGACTAAAACATCCGTATACTGTCAGACAGCATGGCCGTCCTAACGACACTGGAGGGCAACACAATGACCCTTTTTTTTTCCGTGCGGAAATCCCCTCGGATACCACCTGTCGGTGGCATGTCGGACTCGAACCGACTAAAATCGCACGCCGTCGCCGGGTACTAATAGCCGGGGAACCAGGTATACCCTAGAAAGGAAGTCCCTGGTGCCCCGACATACCTCGGGTCATCTACAGACTAGTAGACAACGGGGGGGGCCGTGTGGGAACCCCATGTTCCCTGTGCACAACTATTCATCATTACTGCGATGGACAGTCCTCTTTGCAGAAGATGCCTAAAAGCATAAGGAACGGCCGCCCACGTAATCCTGGAACGCGAACGCGTGGCCACACAACGGGCAAGTACCATACCTGGTACAAAATCGCTCCTAGAAGCCTGTGAACGCCCCAGGAGGCTTCTGCGCTTCTGGAAGGAGCTTGGTTGGCTCACCTAGCCAACCTCTTCTAGACGCATAAAAGACCACTCTCGAGTCTAAATGCGAAAATCGGAGCCCACAACCAATACCAATACCATGGATTTAAACCTCGTGCAACCTAAATTAATTAGTCGGCGCTGTGAGTTAAAGAGTTTGAAAAGTTTTGTTATATCTGAATTACTTTACTGGTAAAAAAGTATTTAGGTACCTATTTCTTTAGTCCCTTATTAGTCCCTTAGCTTATTGAAGACTTGCTTTTGTAATCATCAAGGACTATTTTAAACTATAGTTTAGGCAAATCTAAATTCTCACCGTCTTATTATAAAACGTGGACTTAAAAAAGTACCGGCTTTAGTACTAGGTTTAAACCATGACCTTGAATAAACGTTATTACAAAACGAAGTTTATCGCTAGTCCTAGAACTATCTATGGTATCAAAGTTAGACCATCGTGACCCCTAGTTTAACTATGGTACTAAATTGTCAAACGTCAAATTCTTAATTTTGAGGTTCGCTTTCGGAAAGGAATTTGTGATCAGAAACCAAAAAATGGATATTGATGCAATTGATATGTTTGATTTGGAAGATTTGAATGTGTTGGATATACTAGAATATCGGATATCGTAGCTCGGTGGCGTGGCAGTGTCCATGATTCTAGAATCTTTAGGGAGTGTCGCTTGAAGCAAAGATTTGAATCTGGAGCGTTTTCTGGCATCCTCTTAGGAGACAGTGGATATCCGTGTACACCATACTTGTTTACCCCACTGCTGAACCCAAGAACAGAAGCAGAACAAAGGTATAACAGGAGCCATATCCATACACGGAACACTGTGGAAAGATGCTTTGGTCTGTGGAAGCAACGTTTCCGCTGCCTACTAAGATGCCTATTTCCTGATGATGTCAACAATGAGCAATCCTCTAGGGATTCAATACCAGTGCAGCCAGTTCAAAATTCACTACGAGGGAATATTAGAAGAAGGCAGTTTATTGAAACTCGCTTGTCATAAAATAACATTTATTATATATAACTATATTTCTTCTTTGTGATATTCATGTATGTATATGTTTAATACATGTATTATATAAATGCTAAAATAAAAGCTAATGATCCTTTTTTCATAAAGTAAATCAAACATAAATAAAAGTAACTATTATCTTTAAGAAAATGCTAAAATCAGTCCTATAATACTAATGATTATTATGGGGAATATATAACCTGAAAATAATTATGTTATATTATTATGTGATTGTCAATATATTTGAAGTATTTAATCAATAGGAGATGATTACATTAGTTATTTATTTGAAACTCTTGACTGAACAATTTATACTTATTTAACTTATTTATTTATTCATATAGGACAACTTACAAAACATACACTAATACATAATTTACAAACATGTTTTACAAATATTTCTGAGTGTTGTCTTACTTACAAGTTGCCACGGCATGGTAAGGGACAGTTGCATCTATTCCTTAGTAATGGTGTTAGTTTTTATCTGAGTCTCCAATAGTGCTATTTGTAACTGTAGCTTTTTAATTTTTAATTTTGATATTTCAACCTGATAGAAGTGCTGGGCTTCCAACATATCAAGCTGTTTTTTTTTAAATTCTGTATTACTATTTATAATAGCTTGGCGCCCTTCTTCATTTCTGTAAAATAAATTCTATATTATTATGTAATAATTTGACTTATTATTTTAGTGTGGTAAGCTTTATTTATATTTTCGTGGTTCCTTGATTGAAATAAAATATATTCAGTATTATCACATTTATTTTAACAAACCTATTTAGAGAGGCGGTTTTCCCTTTTGGTTTATTTTCTTCTATTTCTACACTACTTTTTGTTTGCACAGTTTCACTGGTGTAGATCACTGAAAATAATAAATAATATTAATGAAACTAACCTGTATTTTTCTTATTATGAAATTATTATACCTTGTCTTTCTTCAATACTGGACTCTACTATGTTTAGTAAATTGTCATCATATTATACTCTCCACTATTGTTAACTTTTACTTACCACTGCATCACTGTCACAGTCACACGTCTACAACAAAGTCATGAGGAGCAATAGCCATGACTTCCAGGTCCTCTGGAGAAGGTGACGGGGGCTTGTTGCCACCTCCTGTTTTAGACTGCTCTCTCCTGTGAAGAGACAAGTTTGCCTTGGCTGCCAACTTCATTCTCTTCCAAGCCAACTTTATCTCTTCTACAGAACGATTTTTTCCGGCGATTTGCTCACCACAAAGAATACTGTGCCCAAAGAATTGTGCCCTTAGGTACTTGTAGTAACAATAATCTTGAAGTGAAACCACAGTGAGGACATTTTTTTAGTTTAAGTTGTAACATAAACTTTTCGATTACATTACTCGAATTACGCGCGCCGTCCAGTTCACTCCGTTATACTCATACGTGCTAGCTCGGTAGTTGTTCCAAAACATAACATTAATAATTGGATTGTGAACATGCATTCAAAAAAATACAAGTCGGAATATTTAAATACCTTTAAATAACAAAACTTTAAATTTTACCCCTACAAATAACAATTCATAAAATATTTTTCTTTATATTTCGTAACAACATTTTGTTAAAAAGGAAAGGCGCGTAGAACGCTGAACGAATGAATGAATAATTTAAATATTTTGTTGCTTATAATCTGTGGAAAATGTTTAGTCCAGAGACGATCTTTGGTACTAAGTAGTCCTTTGTTGGTCTACGATTTGTAATAAGAATGAAAGAACTAACGTTAGTACCGTAATAAGCTTAGACCTTTTAGTCCTGGTTTAAACCTGGTACTTATGAAAGTTTTTATAATAAGACGGTCAGTGTCTGTCGTTAGGTGCAAATTATATTAATAAACAATATGAAAGAATTTCATATACTTGTTGACTCCTTTTCCTGAGGAGGTGATGTTGGCCCAAAAGGCGGTAGAACGGAAATTGGAGAGGACATGCACTCTTGACTCTCGCAGTAGACGCTCCAGGTGCCAGAGAACGCAAAACGATCTCCAGCCTCCGTGACCCCGAACTTGGAGATAACAGGTCTGGCTCACTATTACTTTTGCAGCAGCAGGCCTGAGGCGGTGAGACGGATGGCCACGCGTGACGCGCGCGCATTCCGATCTAGTTATGGTTTGTTGGTTCGAATTCGGCATACTACTTCACCCTCAGCTCTGGTGAAATGATGAGCCGGATGGGGTTTCTACACGAAAAACAAAAATATATTTTTTTTTACAGAATATATCAATAGATGAATTTGAAAAAATATCTAAATCCGTATTTCCGATGAAGAGTGAAGTGGATATTAAGAACATGATGGACGTGGTGCGCAAACAGCTTAAATTAAAAATGAACAGCAACGAAATAAATTTAGACAAATTGTTTCAAGAGGTTAGTATTAAATTATGGTTGTCTCCCTGGCAAATTTTACGATAAGGAGTGAAAACGGTAGAATAGACGCGCAGATTTATTGTCGCATTTATGTTAGTATCTAAAAAATTATGGCATTTTCTTAAAACCACTCGAAAAACATCAGTAGTAATTTATCATCATCTTAACATAATCTAAACAGTCATTATAGTCCACCGCTGGACATAAGCCTCTCCTTAGAAAGGAGGCTGTGACCTATTAACTAATGTGGGTAGGTGTTATATTATCTTCTAACGAATTCCTGTTTTCAGAATGAGGAGGGTTTCGATCGTCTGGAATTCGCACGTGAGTTGTACCGTCAGCGACAAATGGCCCAGGACAAGTATATTCGAGAAGTAGTTGGGGAACTTGGGGGCAAACACGCTTCTAATAAAATGGTTACCGTGGAGAACGTTAAAAGAGCATTTGCCATAATTGATCCTGCTATAGGTAATTCAACCACTTTCGCTGATCAATGTTTAGATTGTAAACTGACCTTTGTCTTATGTTGGTTTTATTTTAAGATCACATACGCATGGAGCGCTATATTCGCTGGGCGTTTTCTGATCCAACTACGGACGTGAACAGTATTTCTCCAGTTCCTTTAAGAGTTCTGGCCACAAGACTAGCTGCTGGTGATATTGAAAGAGTTGGACCGAGATATCGAGGAACTCGTCGAATAACTTACAAATAAAAATAATAATCAATTTTAATGGAACCATAAATGGACCGTAAATACAAAGAGAAATCGGTTAACCAAGGTTGCAAAAATTTGTTCAACATGTATTTTAAAATTTTAAATAAAACTATAATTATGATATATTATGGTATTTATTCATAACATGAAATGGTCATTATTTTAAAATCCTAAGTAATCCTTTAAACATTGATACTGGTATTGACCTAAAGTATAAAGACGTAAGTAACGATCTTCCAATGTACTTGTGTATTTTCTTTCATATATCTCTTCATATAATACCTAGATGTCCGTGTGGTGACGGATTAAGAATACGGAATGTCACCACCCCTATTCATCCTGTGGGTGTCATAAGAGCCGACTAAGGGAGCAAACTACGCAGGACAATAGCACTGCAAAGAGAAGGAAAGCTTGACACAAACCCTATACCAACCCGTGTGGCCAGCTTATTATAGTAGGCCAAAACCTCCTTTCTAAGGAGATGCCTATGTTCACCAGTGGATCTATCAGGTGCTAGAAGCAATAATTTAAAAATCCCACCAGAAATTGGGTCGCGGTTATAATTTTTACATATTTTTTTATATAACAGGTTAAAGACCGTCATTGAGGAACGTAAATGCGAACGCATCGTCAAGCCGTCAATGTCAAAATCATGCTGTCATGTCAAGAAGCCCTAACCTACAAACAAACCTTATTTTATTTGTTTACATCGTGTCCTCTCTACTACAGTGTACACATAACCTACTAAACTTGAATCTTTATTTATCTGTAAAATGTCTGATATAATAGACACTGAAGAAATAGACCGAGACACAGTAGATGTAGAAGTTCTCGAGCAACAGTTTAAAAATAAATATAAGTTGCTCACAGAAACAGCGGTATCGCTTACGAAGTCTTACATCAATAAACTACATGGGAATAAGTGAGTCCATACTGATCTCGTAATCTTTGAGCCATTAATTACTTGTATTTTTCTTTAGAGGTCAAAATATCTAACTCTCGTGTGAAATAATTACTTTTACAAAATACCATTACATCAGAAAAACCTCTCTACTAACTAAATTAATGAACTTCCTATTACTAATATATTGAACTTCTAAGCCAGAGTTTGAGGTTAGAATCCCACCTGTGATGAGCATGGTGCTTTTTGTTGTCTGGGTGTGATTTATCACACTGGGGGATGGAAAGAAAGCCGTGAAACTGTGGGAGAGCCATGATTCGGCACAAAGGAACCTGCACAACCAGGGTTATACCATCGTACAGAAAACCGTTGTTAAGCAATACTTGCAATTATTTTGTTACTTTTTACTGTGGAATGAGTTTACAAGAGTCCCAAACTCCTCTTCCGTTTATTCGGAGAAATCAAAGGATGGCACAAGTGCACTAGTGACTTGAGTTGCAGATGTCTACGGCCAGCAGTGGTTATTATCAGGACCTATCTGCTTGTTTTTTTAAAGACAACACCCACATTAGGAATTTATTTTGTGGACTTTACAAACATACATGAAACAAACACAAAGAACAAATAGACTCAGAACAACAATTTGTGGATCACACAAAGTGTTGTCCCATGTGGGGTTTAAACCCACAAGACTCGGCGTAGTAGGAAACGGTGTGGCAACTGCTTAAAGCACTATGGTATGCCATCCGTGCAGTCAACTTGTTTACCACCTATTCTATAAAAATAAATAAAAAAGACATATCCTAAGTTAGGTATTATTATATTTCAGATCTCTCAAACTAGCAGTAAGCCAATCAGATAATAGCATAGAGGTTTATCAACTTAACAACTCATCTCTGACAAAAGTGTGTCGGCTGAGTGGGCACGCTAAAGGCCTAACAGAAGTGGTGTGTGACCCTAAAGAAGAACACCAAATATACTCTTCAGGGCTAGATGGAGTTCTCAAGTTGTGGGATACCAGGACGAGCGGCAGTTGTGTCCAGGAGTACAAAGGTATAACCCTGATTTAGAATTTTAAGTACAGAGTTCTAGAGATGCTCTCTCTAGAGACTACCCTAGGAATTACACCCGTACTATGGTTTAAAATTCTGATGTATCTTGATCAAGACATTTGAGTATTTAAGGCACTGAATGTTCTTTTTTTATGTGATGTACTTAATTAATTATTAGGTGTATTTGTTGGTACAAATATGTGTTTCATCTGTAAATATTTATCTAATTCAAAACTCATTGCACCTTCAACTACTACTGTCTCTCCGAAACATTTTGAGCCCTCCTAAGGTTGCCTTTAAGAGGCCATGTCTGACATTTTTATGTACCACACTTCTTGTAATATGGTGTACAAATAAAGAGTTTTTTTTTTCCATCATGTGACCTGAAGGTCAATTCTCATGAAAAAAAATTGGTCAACATTTAGTTCTGATCTATATCAAAATAGGAGGTATTCTCATAGTAATGTATTACTAAAACTAGCAGATTAACGAATCAACTTTAGGTCACAATATGATAGTCAAATTACAGTCAATGTTGGTTGTTTAATACTTTACTATGAGAATACATTTTTACAACATTTGTGAGATCAAGAGAATTGAACTTCAGCAGTTGATCATCATCTGATCATCTGTTTTTTCTTTGTAGTTCTACTATTTGTCGTATTTTAGTTAGTTTGTCATTTTACATATTCGACAGGCCTGTTGGTCTAGTAGACCCTGACTGCTAAACCGGAGGTCGTGGGTTCGATTCCCACCCAAGACAAATATTGTGTGATGAGCGCGGTCATTTCTCCTGGTCCTGTAATAGGAGGGATCCGGGAAGTGCTGTTATTAAGACATCCGGACCCCTCCCAGCACCTGCCCGCAACGGCGCGGGCACCACCTTCGGGTACATTCTCTATTTAGGCGACGTCCGGCACACGCGGACGTATCCTCCTCGCGGCTGGCCGTTATGGCGGGTGGAGGGGAGAACCCGTCCCGTCCACCCGCGGCCACACTCAGGGCGGCATGCGGCGGTGGCAAGCGTGCCTCCGCCGCCCGGTTCGATGGCAACGGATTGGGTCCCAGTGGGTGTTGTCCTCCCGGCCCCTTTACGCCGCCTCCTTCTGCAAGATGACGTCTTCGCAGAAGGATGCGACTGCTGTAAAACATCTGTCACTACGGGCCATGGAGCGTATGACGACCGGTAGCGAGAGATCCTCCCCGATGGCTGCAATGAGAACCCGGCGCTGCGACGCCCAAGCCGGGCAAAATGCCAGCGTGTGCTGAGCCGAGTCCTCTCTGCAATCGTAGTGGTGACAGGCGGGACTCAATTCCCTCCTAGCGACCGAGTGCAGGTACTTTCCGAAGCAGCCGTGCCCGGAAAGGACCTGCGTCAGTCCGAAGGAAAGGGTCCCGTGCTGCCGCCCTGCCCACTCGCCGATTACCGGCCGGAGCGCCTCCACGGCGGCAAAGCCAGCACGTGGAGCCTCCAGCCGGGACGACCAACGAGCCATCGTGGCTCGGCGAGCGGCCTCACGCCACTCGCGTATCTCTTTGGGCGGGGGCCGAATACCGCTATCCTCCCGGAACTCAGCCGTCCGCCGATATGCTTCGGCGAGCACTTCCGCCTCCAAATCCCACGGGGGTGTTCCGGCCAACGCGCATGCCGCCTCCGTCGATTCATTGCGGTAACTGCGTATGGCTCTAACCGCCAATATCCTCTGAGGGCGCCAAAGGCGTGCCTTATTCTGAGCGGTCAGAGCCACCGCCCACACCGGTGAACCGTATAGCGCCATTGACCGGACGATCCCCGTGTACAGCCGTCTTGTAGCGACGCTGGGTCCACCTAGATTTGGCAAAAGTCGCCCAAGGGCAGACGCAGCGCCGACCAGCTTTGGAGCAAGCTGTCGGAAGTGCTCGTCGAAGAGTCACCTCCCGTCGAGGATCAGATATTTCATCTGGGCCTGAACCGGTAGGAGGACCGAGTTGACCACGATTGAGGCACCGGGGGGCGGACCACGAGCAGTCTGGTTACCATAGTACAGGCTCTGCTCGGTTTGGGATCAGACAGCTGTGTGTAAAATGTGTGAGATATATATATATATATATAAATTTAAATGCTATTTAACTGTTTACAAAACCATATAAATTACTACATGGTTATGGTACTTGGGTCTATTTTTATATTCCTATACTATATGATATCATGTAGCCTAATTCTATCTCAGGCTGATGTTCCTTTAAACTTCTCAATAAAATTATGTTATTTATTAAAACGATTTCAGATGAAGAGGAAGAATTATTAAGGCCATATGAATGTATGGATGTGTCACACAATGGCCGAGTAATGTGTGCCGGTAGCCAGTTGGTAGAAGATGATGCATATCTTGTGTTCTGGGATCAGAGGGTCACTAAACCCCTGGGGGGTTACTGGAACTCTCATACTGATGATATTACACAGGTAACTTGTTCACATATACCAATACGGCACTGCAACAGTGCCTTGAAATGTCAATACTTTACACAAATCATAGGTACTTATTTAAGCTGGGTAGAAATCCATCATGTAGATATTTACCAGTGTCATAACAGAACTAGCAAAGCACAAAATATACTGTAACTCCTAAAGAATTTAAGTAAACTTTCTACAGAACTTCGATATCGACCAGTATTTAGGTTGTGGAGGGCTGATGGCACTAGCAGTAGACCGTAGTAGACCTTAAGCCGACCCCAACCTAGTTTGGGAAAAAGGTTTTGAGGAAGTTAGCAAGATATTCGCTTTTACTGTTCGCTCTTCTTCGCAGTTATTCAATCTCTGTATGGCGCAATGAGAATAAAAACTCATCCTTGCTCCATCGCGCCGGGTATTGACAAAATATTTTTTCTATCACTAAGTTTTTCTTTTAGTATTGGAGGCCTGGCGACCTGTACGCAGATATTCTACACCTGTCATGGGCACCAATTTCTCACAAATGTAGAGTATTAAATATATTAATAATTACAGGTGAAATTCCACCAAACAAGAATGGATATCCTTGCCACAGGGTCTTTAGATGGTCTCGTCAACATATTTAATGTGATGGAACAAACAGAAGATGATGCATTAATGTACTCGCTAAACGTAGAGAATTCTACAGAGAAACTGTCGTGGTTAGATGAGAAGCATGTAGCCTGTATCACACAGTCTAATGACCTGCAGCTATGGAACACTGATAACGGAGACATGGTCAAAAGTTTCACCAGAGATAAAGTGGCAAGAAGTATAAAGGTAAGCCAAGTTATTTTACTCTGAAGCGTGAAAATAAACCTTTAGGTTATTAAAGAGTAGAAAAGCATTATGAAGAAAAATTTTGGAGTTCAAAAAGACAGGGAGAATAAATTAATGGGTTTGGATGGGTTATTATGACATCCGAAGTATATCGGCGGACGGCTGAGTTTCGGGCGGATAGCGGCTTTCGGCCCCCGCCCGAAGAGATACGCAAGTGGCGTGAGGCCGCTCGCCGAGCCACGATGGCTCGTTGTTCGTCCCGGCTGGAGGCCCCATGTACTAGCTTTGCCACCTTGGAGGCGCTCCAGCCGGTCATCGTCGAGTGGGCAGGGCGGCAGCACGGGACCCTTTCCTTCCGGCTGACGCAGGTCCTTTCCGGGCATGGGTGCTACGGGAAGTACCTGCATTCGGTCGCTAGGAGGGAATTGAGTCCCGCCTGTCACCACTGCGATTGCAGTGAGGACTCGGCTCAGCACACGCTGGCAACTTGCCCGGCTTGGGCGCCACAGCGCCGACTCCTCATTGCAGTCATCGGAGGGGATCTCTCGCTACCGGTTGTCATACGCTCCATGGCCGGTAGTGACAGATGTTTTACCGCGGTCGCATCCTTCTGCGAAGACGTCATCTCGCGGAAGGAGGCGGCGGAGAGGGCCCGGGAGGACAACCTCTCGTCGTCGGACCCAATTCGTCGTCGGCGAACCGGGTGGCGAAGGCGCGCTTACCATCGCCTCATGCCGCTTTGAATGTGGCCGCGGGTGGACGGGACGGGTTTTCCCCTCCATCTGCCATAACGGCCAGCCGCGAGGAGGCGACGTCCGTGTGTGCCGGATGTCGCCTACATGGAGAATGTACCCGAAGTTGGTGCCCGCGCCATTGCGGGCAGGCGCTAGGAGGGGTCCGGATGTCTTAATAACAGCTGTTCCCGGATCCCTCCTATTACAGGCGCAGAGTGGCACACCGTGTGGTTTTAGTCGGTCCGAGTCCGACACACCACCCCGCCGCAAACCCCGGTGGGGTGACGGCCCGAGGGGGTTTCCACACGTAAAAAAAAAATTAGGGTTATTAATTATCTTCATATGAATGAATCATATCACATCAATAGCCTTGAATAATCCACTGCTTGATTGAATGAATGGTGCGAATGAATCATATGGAATGAAATAATATCTTCAAGTACACCACTTTGAAAGCTGACAAGGTCGACTAGGTATGTTCATATGTCTAAATAATAGCTGTTCCCGGATCTCTCCTGTTTAAGGCGCATGTATGGCACGCGCTGTGTTTTTAGTCGGTTTGTTTTCGAAACACCTCCCAACCACAAACGCGATGAGGTGACGGCCCGATGCACACTTACAAAAGGGTATGACTATGTGTAAAATAGTCGTATAAACTTGTGTGTTTATGCTTTTAGTTATTATTGGAATAATATTATTGAACGTTGCAATTTTTTTGTTTTACTTACAGAGAAGTAAAGGTGACGATTGCTACTTGGTAGATATGTATAGTTCAATAGACGACTCGGCGGTACTTCTTGCGGGATCGTATGGGGGTGACGGGTAAGTACAAGACTTTATATTAGGGGTTGAAGTATGAAATGCCGATTTGTAGAGTCGAAAATCGACTGATGCACATTTTTTAAAAGAAAACCTCATAGGTATCATTCGGTCATCACATCAAAAGTTTCATACGAAAATCTCACACCATGAAGGTTTTTATGTCAATTCAAAGTATTTATTGCTATACAAACGGCAATTTCATACTTACTTAAACCCCTATTATTTCCAAATAGTACTCCACCTTTTTTTTTTTGCGTGTGGAAATCCCCTCGGATACCACCTGTCGGTGGCATGTCGGTCTCGAACCGACTAAAACCGCACGCCGTCTCGGGTACTAATAGCCGGGGAACCAGGTATACCCTAGAAAGGAAGTCCCTGGTGCCCCGATATACCTCGGGTCATCTACAGACGAGTAGACGCCCCCCCCCCCCCCCGTGTTTATTTTTGTTTTAAAAGTTTGTTTTTTAGGCCTAACGACGGGTCGACACACACTGTGTTATCTGTTATTAATTTTATTACTCGTATTAATCATTTCACATTTGACGAAGCAATTTATTCTTGCGGTCACTATGTATGTTGATGATTTAAATTTTTATTTGTATACCTATTAAGTATTTAATTGGTAGTTAATTATTGTTGAGCAATTTTATAAAAATAAAGGTATCCTTAAATTCGATCGAAAAATAGGTTGTGATTTATAATGTCGACACTTTGTTGTTTGAGGAGTATCAGATCAAAGCGTCAATATACATAACTTTTGAGATAAAGGCATAATCCATAATATATTATCCATTATAGTAGTAGATATGTCTTTTATCTACCAACTACCTTTTTTAGCTTTAGTTTTAATGCATGTAAGAGTCACTATCAGATGTCAATCGGAAGAATATTGTAACATTTATCATAATGTATATATGTGCGTGAGATTGTACATCAGTTTTGTGAATTATAATAAAAAATAATAATAATACGTCATTGGTTTGTGCCCTATATAAAAGAGGAGGCACAAACCAATGACGTATTATAATGAATTAATACCCTTGACACAAACAAACAACTTTCGCACTGTAATAAGGAGTCAAATCAGCAAATAAAATTATAATCTACACACATGTATATTCAAATTACCTATAACAATCAATCAAATCTTATTAATCAAATTTCGTTGGACGGAGATTATACTCTTTGATCTGTTACTCCCCATTTCCCCCCACTCCCCATTTGGACTGCACGGATGGCGTAGTGGTTCAAGCGGTCGCCACGCCGCTTCCTATTACGCCGAGTGTTGTGGGTTCAAACCCCACATGGGACAACAGTTTGTGTGATCCACAAATTGTTGTTCTGAGTCTGGGTGTACTTTGTGTCCGTTTCATGTATGTTTGTAAAGTCCCCCGCGACAAAAAAAAAAAAACAACAAGTACCTCTTGTATGTTATTTGAATGATATAAGTGAAACTAATAGAAGGAAAACTTGAAACAAACCCTATACCAACCCATCTGGCCAGCGTGGTATAGTAAGCCAAAACCTCCTTTCTAAGGAGAGGCCTACGTCCAGCAGTGGACTATTATGGACTGTTGATGAAGTGAAACTAATAGTGTATTGTCTATTACAGGCACGTGTTGAGGTCTGTAACGATCGAAGAGAAAAAGTTATATCCGAGCACAAACTTCAGCCACAATAAACAGACGGTGCGATGCTGTTGGTACGATAAAGACGTAAGTAATTTTGGGGGGGGGGGGGGGGTACACTAAAAATAAAATATGTCGAGTAAATTTTATTACACACATTATAAAAGAAATAGAAGTTGCTATTTTGCACTCCTCAACCAGCCCTTATAGTCAAGATCCCTTTAATATTTACATTATCTTCTTATCTATATTTTTCTTTTTTTTTATAAATTTAAAAAAAAGACAACTAAACAAAAGACAAAGCGAGGTACTTTAAAAATATACATTAAACGGACACAAAGAACACTCAGACTCAGAACAACAATTTGTGAATGACACAAAGTGTCGTCCCATGTAGGGATCGGACCCACAACACTCAGCGCAGTAGGAAGCTGCGAGGCGACCGCTTAAACCACTACGCCATCCGTGCATCGATTATGACGGCAATAGACTTGTTTGACGAATATTGCTAAAGTGGGACTAAAATTATTGCATTTGATACTGCTCTGCCTATCTCTTCGGGGATATCCCACCCAGGAAAAATAATTGTGTGAAACCACGAGTATAATATGTTTTGTGTCTGGGTGTAATTTTGCCTATTATTTAAATTATATGTATTTAGAGAAATACATGTTGCCTTCTTTGGGATCAGACTGAGACTGTGTGGAATATTTTAAGTTATTATTATAATAATGTCTTATTAAGGAGAGAACTATTCTATGTTGTTCCAGCGTGACTTGTTAGTGACCACCGGCGAGTCTGGTCTCATCAGCGTGTGGACGAGCGGAGAGTGCGCAGAAAATGGGACCATCTCCAAGAAGTTGTCTAGTTCTATGAAGCAATTACAAGTGAAAAGGCATAAACCGTACTGAAATAAACATTTATATTTCATTTAACTTTTATTGACTATTATTTTGACCTTTATACACAACAGGAATATGATAAAATGGTTAAATTGAAAAACGAAACTGTGAGTTCAACGACCTTGTTCAAGCAGTTAAAAAAGTTACATTTTAATTATTGAAATGATTCGGACAGCAGCTAATGTGCAGTCTGAACTAGGTCAATGACTAATGAAAGTTGGTACGTTCATTTAGGATCTATGATGCACAAAACAGAACAGTATAACACAGCCGTTAAACTCTCTCTTTGCTTCTTTGTAGTGTAGAAATAATTGTTTTGGAGCTCAACTAAAACCTAAATCATTCAAATGACGACATTGTTACGTTTATAATCTTCACACATGAGGTACGCCACCTAGCGCAGCAGACAACTTCTTTAATCTATCATCATCATCATCAACATCAACAGCCTACATTAGTCCACTGCTGGACATAGGCCTCTCCTTAGAAAGGAGGTTTTGGCCTACTATACCACGCTGGCCAGACGGGTTGGTATAGGGTTTGTTTCAAGTTTTCTTTCTCTTTGCAGTGCTGTTGTCCTGCTTAGTTTGCTCAATTAGTCGGCTCTTACGACACCCACGGGATGATTTAATCTATACAAATAAATAAAATTGAAGTGTCTGATTGTAATGTCAAAATTATAGGTTTTCTTCATACTCACACGGTTATTGCCACGACACCTAAGCCTAAAAACCAGTTTAATTATTTTTTTTTGTCTGTCTGTTTGTACCGGGTAATCTTCTAAACGGTTAGACCGATATTGTCTACATAAGGAATAACTTAGGCTATTTTCCTTCTTCGAAAAACCATTTAAAATTTTGCTGGGTTTGGGCATCGAACCCACTAAGGCAGCGCTTTTCAAATTCCACACAAACGAAGTCGCGGGTGCCAGCTAGTAGTTTTTATATAAAAACTATTTACTCACGGAAAGGAATTATTTGATAACGATTGTTGCCAGGCACAGGATTGCGGGGCTGGTTAAATAAATAGTTATTACATTGACTAACATATTTTATTATTTGGTGATTGCATAGGAACTTTCTTAACGTTTTTAAACAAGGAAAATACATTATTTATTTAAGGGAATTATTTAATTCTATTTAAATGTAATAAGTATCGATATTTATTTGGAAGAAAAGTTGAGTAATGTAATTTTAATTGGTAGGTATTTATTTCAAAAACTAAACTTAAATGGTAGGTAGGTATGTCTATATACGTGAAGTGAGATAAAAAGGGCAGTAAAAGTCAATCTCACACTGTTGGTGCTTGTCCACAAGTGCAAGCGAGAAAGTAGATTATAATCCCTCATATGTATGCGATTTGTATTTTTTCTTTATACACCAACAAAATATCAACGACCGGATGGCGTAGTGGTTTGTGTAACGGACTGCTATTCCAAAGGTCTCGAGTTCGATTCTCGCTAAGTCATACATTTGTGTTTATGAACATTTAATGTTTGATTTGGTCTGGGTGTTTCGATGTATAATATGTATGTATTTACAAAAAAAGTATGTATGTATTTATATTAGTTATCTAGTACCCATAGTACAAGCTCTGCTTAATTTGGGACTTGATGGCATTGTGTGAATGTGGTACAATATTATTATTATTTACAATTATATCCATTTCTTACAAATAATTGTGAAATCATTGCGCTTTCATAAAAGTTACAAGTTCACATGTAATTAGTAAATTTTATTAATCTATGTACAAAACGAGACACACAACTTCTAGGGCCCTCAGGCCCTTAAAGGAAGCGGGTGTCTCGTCTGTGTGATGGGTAAGTCAGGCGTCTATATAAATAAAACAATCATTTTGATATAACTTAGCACTTTATTACAGACCCAAAATTACTAAATATTATTAAATTGTGAATTGCGAAATTCATTAAAGGTACACAAAGGATACTGCGGCTTGGCATTGTCACTATTCAACAATAAAATACGTACACAAGTACACATACATTAGTCAGTACCGCCGCGACTTTGTGTAGACATACAATACATCACGTAATAATAATATCAATCAAATACATTTAAAAAATTAACTTACACATATACGTATTAAATTTTGTGTCATTGTTTAATTTAAAATGATTAATATACAACACGGTCACGTTTATTAGCTGCCAATGAACATGCGAATAGATAAAATGGGATGTAGGTATAATCAACAAACGCCTTGGAAGAGTTCAATAACTGTATCATAAACGAGTCTTCAATAAAATTATACCTCGTTAAATATAATTTGTACTCAAAATGTACTCTCAAATTTGACTATATATGATTGTCATTTACAGAGATTAGATAAAAATTATTGTAAGAACAATCTAAGAACAGTGGGTATGAATTTATTTGATGCGCATTTTGAGATCTCTAACACAATGTAATGATTAACGAAATAAAATGGTAGAATAAACAGTTGCATTCACTTATTATTTTGAAGTTAGTTTACTGCAAGTAACACGTGAGGCAATATTAGATAAATTATAAATGCGCATCAAATGTGTTGTGGCATGATTGCATTGATCTTTGGTAACTGCGTGTTGAGTAAAGCGATAAAAACGTTCAGTCGTAGCCCTCTGGGGATCACTTCGCTGACAAAAACATTATCAATCTGAAACAAAATATTTACATGTTATTGTGTAATGACGGGCAGTAGGCACTTGGATTAGAATTTGACATATCTGACATTTTTACTTTTTTAAATGACATACTTTGAGAAACATTGTCCGGGAAACCTTATACTCGATTTAAAAAAAAAAACCGGCATGAAATCCCTCCAATCACATCAACATCCTTTAATAGTCCACTACTGCCCGTTAGAAAAGAGGTTTTGCCTACTATACCACGCTGGCCAGACAGGTTGGGTATAGGGTTTGTTTTAAGTTTACCTTCTCTTTGCAGTGCTGTTATTGTCCTGCGTAGTTTGCTCCCTTAGTCGGCTCTTACAAGACCCACGTGATTTTCTTAATCCGTCACCACACGGATTCAATTCAATGGTTTGGGATAATATTATTAGCGATTTTTTTATTAGTAACATAATATTATAAGATATTTGTCAAGTTTTACAAGAATATGTAACTATAAACTTACAATTTAATCCATTTTCAAATTGTTTTTCGATTTATACGAGTAAATTGTTGTATTTACTATGAAAATCACATTCAAAGCCGAAATTAATGAAAAGGGCGCCAAAACGATACAGGTGGCTTCGCTGTCAAATCGTAGAGTTGGGAGATGGCAAACAGAGAGATCAAGAATTTTAGGTAAACTGGTTTTTTGGACTTGTCTTTCCATCTCATTCACTCGATGAGCGTCCGGTCCATCCAGCTGGCGGTAACGATGCACATGTACCTGTACTGGTAATGTTAACTTTTTTTATAAATTTAAGAAGCTCCATTTTTTTGAGGGCTGATAAGTTTCACAACCATACGTTCTTTATGGACAGGTATTTTAAACACCGTTTATTACATGACAAAGCACTTTAAATGAAAAATGAAATTTTTTAACTTTAAAATATACTTGTACATAATTTCTTAGCTCCCTTTTAAATAATTAAGTATAATTATAATTTAATATTTAAATTTAATTGCTGTGGCGTTATAACACTGGCTTTTTTTGATACTTAAATCACCATCTCAAAATTCCGGTCAAACAAATTTTTAATTTTTATACAAATAAAAAGTAGCGTATGGCATATAATAATCTCAGATAAAAATGTCTGACAATAAATGAAGAATGTTGGTTAAACCTATCGAAGTGAATAAAAATATAAACCTCCAATTTTTTTTTTAAAGAATATTTTTTCTTGTAGAAGGGTAAACAGGCGCGCAGGTAAACGAATCCCCTACCGCATGCCAGATGGGTCGGATGCCGACGACCAGTGTGAAAGAGATGGTATATCATGGTAAACCTGTCTCTTAAGACACAGGCGTAGTTTAAGAGACAAGGTTCAAATGCAACAATTTTATGTAATTTTAGAAATTTAGCGTATAATACTGTAGATACCAATTGTGTCTGCTATGTTTCACTGTTGTAACTTTTTGACCAATCAATTTATTATAGTTATTATTATTATCAAAATAATGATATTTTTTGCTTGGTTTTAAAAAAGTAATACACCTTACAGTAACTTGTTTTCTTCGCATTTACAAAATATTTTAGAAACTGAATTAATACAACTGTTAAAGTAAAAATATTTTGTGTTTATTGTATAAAACAACAAGATTCGTTATAATCGTTTAAATCTTGAAGAATATAATTTTGATTTATAAAATGGTAATTTGTCATAAAATCTCAACACTGTGACAACGGTCTTATTAAGTTGTACGCTGTTGTATTCCATTAGAAATAACTAGCTTTTGTTAGCGGCACTGCCCGCGTGTATGTCGCCTATGTCCTTCCTCAAGAATCAAGGTATTTGAATGGCAAATTTCATTAAAATAGTAATAGCCAGACAGTTATTTAACATTTATAAATAAAATAGTAGGGATTTAAAATGTATAATAGAAACAAAACGAATGCTTAAGGAACCGTCTTTAACTATATGTAATAGTGGCTCTACTAAAGTTTCTCACCCATAATACTTTAGTAACTCATTAAATACTAGGAGAAATAAAATAATATTGAGTTTTATTCTTTACTTAATTTTTTTTGAGACTCCCCATACAAACTTCCAACCCTTTTTTTCACCCCTAAAGGGACTAATTGGTCAATATATATATATATATAATAAATAACAATCTTCATTTCTGACGAAAATTTAAATGATAAAAGTCCTATAGTTACATTCACCCATTCAGTATTTCATTTCATTTTGGAAACTAATTTTCATACTACTATACACTCTTAAAGGATGATTTTGGAGATAAAACTATTCTTTATTGCCAACCCCTCTTTTCACGAAGTGAAAGGATGATTTCTTTGATAAAATGATTATATGTCCGCTCCTGGGACTAAGACTATCTCTATAATAAGTTTTACCTATATCGGTTCAGCGGTTTAAGTGTGAAGAGACAACAGACAGACAGACACACTTTCGTATTTGTAATATTTTTATGTATTTTGTAGGTATATGTATAAAAACTAGCGATAACGTAATAGGTATTACTTTGAATTGCTTCATATTTCGACCAGGTCTAATGCTCTGGACATCATTATTACTGTCTTATTGATATTAATTAGTAATAAAACGCATACACACACATATCGTCACATCTACACTACACATAGTTTAGGTAAGTTTGTTACTAAAAAAACGTTCAGACCTCTAATGTTGGTCTTACATGGTGGAATATCTTGCTTCTTTAAATTCGTAAAACTAAAAACATGTGAGAGCTATCCTCGAGCACAAACGGGCCGGCCTGACTAGTGTGATACCACGGTCTCAAAGATAACTGGTTTTAAGTAACTCTAGAGAAAGGCTACCGGAGCCCAAACCACCACTGCCCTCGTACCTGAAGTGTATGGCCTTGTTGGAGAGCAGGCGGTTGGTGTCGTTGAGGTCGGCGAGGGGCAGCGGGTGCGGCGGCGAGTCGGTGGAGTCCTCGGCGAAGGCGTGCGAGCGCACCGCGGGCGCCAGGCGCGCCTCGCCGTACGGCCCGCGCAGCACCACCCACTGCACGCTCACCCCGCACACCGCCTTGCTCTTCAGGATCAGCTGCGACCAGACCGACCTTTAGAACACCCGAGCGACTCGATAAAGGGATACGCCTATGCCGAATCCTTCGATTTACCTGATAAGTGATCTCCCTCTGTGAGCTCTGGGTGGGGTCCCGTTGGTTCTTGTTGACGAACGCCTTGACCACCCACTGATGGCCGAAGGCGGTGAACCGCGACGTCTCATAGTACAGCTTGTGCAAGAACTCCTCGGTGCGGTACGGTTTCAGCTGCAGATCTGCGACACATTCTTTATTCACAAGTATTTAGGAATGATCTGTTAGTGATATCGGTGGTTGCCTGCCTACCTACCTAACAGAAAACTCAAGTTAATTTTACAGTATGATATTCTACTATAGATAATTAAAATCGGTTGTCTGTAAAGTCGGTACATACGGATAGGATATACGGACAGTTGAACGTGACAACGTCATAAGAAAATACTGATGGAATGGTTGCATTTTACGAAAACATGTAAATGTATTATTGTATAGCAGCTGTCCACGCGGACGCATCGCTCACTCAAGTAGGAGAGAGACAGATGTCAAACGCTGCCGAAGGCCGATTGTGCCTCTTTGTCGCTCGTTCCGCGCTCTCGCTTGCACTTCAAACCTTAAATGGAACGCCTCAGAGCTAGGTAACGCCGCATGAGTCATGTTTTTTCGGGCGTGCAGCCGGCTCCATCGAATTATAAGACGTTGTCACGTCAAAAAATATTTTTAACATATTACACGACGCTATCTAGACCTAACTTTTTTTTACTTCTTTATGTATAATATTAATATTGTACCAGATTCACACAACACTATCTAGTCCCAAACTCATCAGGGAACTAACAAGGCAACTGATATAAATACATATATCGTCGGCTTATTGCAAGAAGTCATTATGTGACATATTCATTATTTAGGGAAAACGTCATTTTAGTTGGAGTTAGTTAGTGGTTATGTTAATTAGCCCATATTATCCTTAATACATAAGCTAGAAATTAGTGTGTTTTTGCATTTTGTAGAATATGTAAAAATGAGCCCATTATAGATAAAAACGTATTTAGTGATTTTTTGCAGTTAAAGAGTTCTTGCAATTAGCCGACGATATACTTTTTTTTTGTAAATACATACATATTATACATAGAAACACCCAGACCAAATCAAACATTACATGTTCATGCACACAAATGTTCATACATAGCAGACCGTTACACAAACCACTAGAATAGATGGATCAGGATTATATTACTTTGTAGTTGGCCCAGCTACATGTCATGTAAATTTGTATGTATATTTTATTAGTTTTTGTTACAAATAAACCAACTAACCGTTAAAGGTGATCTTCTCATAGGACAGCAGGTCCATCACCTGGTTGTAGACGGCGTTCGCTTCCTTAGCGCGCTTGTCTCTGTCGGCGAGCGTGGCGACCACGTCCGCGGCGGACTTGAAGGGGTGAGTGCACGCGCCCTCGTGAGCTCCCGCCTCGTGCGCCGGGCCCAGCCAGGGGCACCCGATGCACGCATAACGGCATCCCGTCAGTCTGCACATATGTACATACACAGACTAAGACACGAACATTATACGATACCTTTAGTACCATAACCTGATCTAGACAGATTTGGAGGTACAAATTACGTACCATGTATACGTACCTTTACAAATCCTATGCATGTCAACGTGAAACATAAATGTAAATGAATCTAATTTAGAAATTGTTAAAACTATCTTTCTAAACGCTAAGAATTCCGCATATTCGGCATAGGTATGAATGGTATCCCAAATATTATAACCGTGTCTGTTCCTGACGAGCTGACAGCTGACACCACTGTGTATTAAGCTTTTATTTTATGGAAACACTACTATGTGTTAACATCTAGGGTGTCAGCTACTTTAATCCAGTCGTTTCAGCGTAAAGTAACATACATACACACTGGCATACTTCCTCCTTTATAATATTAGTGTGATTAGACTAACACTTATTAATTTCTACTTTCACCTTGACGTTGTTTACTATAATGCGGTTATTTAATAAAAATGTTAATACTTATATTGTAAACTTTCCGCTAACAGTTAGGTACCAGACCGTTCTAACGGCCAACGAATTAAACGTAGCGAAAACTAGCACCAAACGTGGTAAGTTTATGGCACAAAAGGATCAGTTCGGTTCGCATCACCACCAGGTGTTACCAAGCAGTACAACGAAATGTTAAGTAGTAAAAAAGGACGCGAAAACTTAATAGCATTAGACAGACCTGCGGCCCCTGCGTCGCTTGAGCGGCGCCCGCGCGTCGCACGTCCGTAGCGCGTACGTGCGCCGCAGCGCGCATACCAACAGCGCGTACACACTGGTCACAATGCGAACCAAACTATCGAAGTAGGGTTTCTTTGGAGACGTATCGACTACCAATTGCGAGAACTTGAATTCCCTGGGGGAAGAAAGTGTAGCTTCAGTGAGTTCCAAAGCTACTGATTTCTAGTTACTATTTTCCTCTATGTATTAGGTACTACCGATATACATCTAAGCGCCTAGCCTTCACCGTGCAACGGACATATAATTCAAATTCTCCGTATGGAAACTAATTTCTTCTTATCGTGCTATAAACTATTCAGTGAACGCAAATAACATTTCTTTAAAGACTACCAATTAAGATCAGCTTTGTCTTGTAAGAAACTAGGTGATAACGTCGGTCCTGATGACCTACACCTAAACGAGTTATGATAAGCGATGAATCACCTCTCCTCGCACGTGTTCTCCTCGTGATGCTGTAACGAATGTCGCGGGAACACGCAGGTGCAAAACTTGCACTCGGACGGCAATTCAGACACTGTCTTCTCAACGGCGAGGTTTCTCGAGGCCGAAGTCTTGGAGATCTCGACGCGACAGTTGGGGCATGTGGCTGCCTCGTCCCGGAGTCGCGCATCCGCCAATAAATGTGTGAAGCAAGGCGCACACATCAGATGGCCATTGCTACACTGAAATTTTAAAACTGTGTAAGTGCCATGCAACAATGTGTGTTGAAATATTTTTGTTTATATCAAGGTTTTTAGTGAAATCATTGATATACAACATTTATTTTGAAATGTTAGTATGCAATTATAAATATATATTGAAAAGTAATTGTTATGTTGGTATGCATTTTCTACAGTTTCTACCTCTGCCTGTGGTTGAGATTGCCACCTGTAATCAAACTATACACAATAAAATAGGCTGTAACAGAAAACATTTTATTACATATTTTCAATAAAGTAAGTTTTTTTTTACTATTACAATGTGAATTATTAAAGAACTTCAAGTGATCTTCATGTTAACATCAGTAAAGTAATTAAGACATTCATTAAAATTTAAGATTTCATAATTTATATATATATATTTATTATGTTCTAAATACACAGTAATCATCCTTAAAGAGTTGGGGAACCCTCGGAAGATTGTGAACACTGTTTGTGGAAGTTTATATAAGATCTATGATCAGTGGATGTGAAATGAAGATGGTAAAGTAAACAGACAGTAACTCAGATTTTGTCATAGAATTTATTTTTAATTAGTTTTCCTGTAAAATAGCCTAAATTTGCCCTACCAGAATTGAAATAACAGACTGTAGTCAAATTTCCTGTAGTATGATCAGAAATACATGTTCAGTCATTGTTTGTGTCAGAAGAAGGGCGAACCAGTTTTAGCCCGTTGAGGAAACACAGGTTATGTATATGTATATGATGGTCTAAAAAATGTTATGTCCAGGAAGTTATTAATCTTTTTAAGTTGTATGATGGATATGTGTGTAAAAAATAAATAATAACTTTAATATTGGTTTTAATAAAAGGAATGTTTCTTACATAAGGATGAGGATTGAACAGGGGAACAATGAACAAAGAAAGAAGTAAATCTCTCAAACATTTCTTTATTCAACTGAAATGTTACAAGAGTATACACTAAATTTACTTGCTATACAATATTTATCCAATGTTATATTATAACAGACAAGTTCTTAACTCCTAAATGCACCTACTCTTTTACAATTTGCTCAGTTCAAGAATACATAGAGCTATACCACGGACAACACATACAGTACCTAAGTCAATAATTAAATAATCGAACAAAACTTATTTTAAGTAACAACCATTACAATAAAGATCATATCACAGATACCTGACATGTAACTATACATTGACAACCAAAGGATAGATACAAAGTGAGGACGCCATTAAAAAAAAAAACAATTTTAAAAATACGTCGTGTGGGCGTCCCCACGACGCATTATAACACTTGGCAACCGCTCTACCAGCTGCTTACGTAACAAAAGAAAATATTTGTAAAACAGCTGATACGAAAATCAACACGATCAGCTGTTTTGAAATACCTGATACACGGCCGCCTGAGGCAGGTCCAGGCATACTGCGCAGCACAGGATGCCTCCAAGCCTATGCTCGAGCTTGTCGCTCGTCTCATTCTCATTTATTTTACGCTTTTTTGTCAAAGGCTCGTCTGCATCTTTTATGTCAGAGGAGACCTCAGGCTCGCTCGAACACGGAACGGGTTCTCTTTCGGGTGCCTCGGCCATTACACTTTGTAAACAATAACACTATGACAAAACTAAGTTAACTGAGCTGCGTCAGATGGACGCCAAACACGTATCGTATCGACGTACTTCAAAACCAAACAAAGCTTTGTTGTTATAGAGTGCAGTCTGTGGTGAGGAATTGGATTGGATAGATTCCCCCACTCCCGCAACTCTAGTGAAGTGATGCACTTATTATTGATCCAACTATGACAATTAGGTTTTGTTTAACTATTTGGGATAATCTTTTGATAAAAACAAAACAATAATTGAAAAGATATATAAACAGGCAAGTAAAAAGGTAATTCTAAATGAATTCACTAATAATCCATTCTTGATGTGTCTGGAAACAATAGTACATCACTATGATTTTTTTCCCATAGAATTACTAGTGTAATGTTAATAATTGTTTTTTTTTTTCTTCTTCTTTTTCTTCTTTCTCAGGAAAAGAAGGATTATTAATTTTAGGCAATGGGATGTAGGTTTGTGTCAGAGAGAGGAAAAGGTTTTGAGAAAGAAGTCAATAATGTCGGCTATAACTTCGAGGACGTAATCCAGGATCTTAACTATCATTCCTACGGCTTGCAAACCATTGCGTTACAATAGACAGACAGGATGATCTTTCTAATGTCCCCAGAAGGCACAGGACAAAATTCAAAGTTGAAAATATTGGGTCTGGGCAGACTAACGATGTAATTCAGGGTCCGACTTTATGTTTAATGATCCGGTTGAGTGGTAGAAGAGAAATGAAGATTGATATCATTCAAACCAATGAAACTCGGTCCGTTGTTGTCTACCAATACCCAACTTGTTAAGGAACTTCCACATACTAGAGGTTTGCTCTTTAAAGATGCCCTAGGGCCAGGTACGAGGCCATGGTACGGACCGTGTACGAGTGCATGGAACTCCGCTGTCACCCTCTGCGGGCAAGTTATGCTTGCGAAGGAGATGCATACGACTCAGGTACCGGAGGTCGAATAACAACCTCCGTCCTCCATAAGCGCAGGCCTGGGGGTAACGGGTGAGGCCATCTGTCACCCTAGCAGAAGCATGGTGGGTGGCTGTGGAGCGCACGTGCCCTTTCGGGAGGGGAGGTCATCTACACGCTGTAGATGACCCGAAGTACCTGGATTTCCTTTCCAGGGTGCACCTGCTTCCCTGGCTACTGGTACCCGAGACGACGTGCAGTTTTTAGTCGGTTCAAGTCCGACATAACCACCCCGTCGGTGGGTAGTATCCGACGGAATTTTCGTGAAGAAAAAAAAAATAGAAAAGGGGGCACGGGAATTCGACATTTTTTTTATGGAATAGGGGTATTGGTTTAGACTCAAGAGTGGTCCTTTATGCGTCGAGGATTGGTTAGCTAGGTGAGCCAACCAAGCTCTCTCCATAAGCGCAGAAGCCTCCTTTGGCGTTCACAGGCTTTTAGGAGCGATCTTGTCTCAGGAATGATACTTGCCCGTTGTGCGGCCACTCCCTCGTATTCCAGGAATACGTGGGCGGCCGTTTCCTCTGCTTCCAGACATCCCCTGCACAGAGGGCTGTCCGTCGCATTGATGATGAATAGGTGTCGGTTCAGAGCTAAGTGTCCTGTTAGAGTACCGACAACTATTCGGATTTCCTGTCTGCTAAGACCAATCAATCTGCAGGTGAGCCGTGGTGTGACTTGAGTCATCACCAGTTTGGACTGTTTGCAGCCGGGTGAGTTTTTCCACCTCCGGTTGTGTGCTTCACGGGTCCGTTGCCTTGACATGGCCGTTGTGGCGGCGTAAGTTATTGCTACACATTCGCATTGGAATATGGAACTGTGTTGGCCTAACGCTAGTGATATGTTCATATTTAGGTCTGGCGAGAAAACACCGGCTCCAGTTCCTGACCTAGTCTTGGAACCGTCCGTGTAAATTCGGACTTCATTAACGCCGGATTGATCTAGGTCATTTTCTCGCATCTGGATGTGGTATCTTTTTGTGAAGATGTGGTGTTTTGGGATTCTATCGCATGAGGCTGCTATTAGTGGTTCGTATTCCACCAATTGATCCCATAGTTTGGAGTGCGATCCCTCACTCTTATGCCATAGGCCCATAGTGGGGGCAGACCCAAAGCCACCTCTAGTGCGGCAGTTGGCGTTGTGCGCATACAGCCAGTGACCGCAGAGCATGGGAGTCGCTGGAATAGCTGCAATTTGTTTATGACGGTGCTTAGCTCTATAGCCGCTTTTCTTCTCAGGCGGACTACTCACCGGCTGACCCAGTGGAGAGTTTTACGAGATTACCTCAGGGTGCCTTCTAAGAGAACAGAAGTGTGTGCGTGTGGGAAACCTACGGGATTCCTTAGAGGAAAACAACTTACACCTCAGTCATACATACATGTATATTTCAAAAAAACAAAAACGGCTGAAAGCCGGACTTATATATGTTCGGTTTGTGAAGTTTCCAGAAAGAATCCCTACTTAACATTTTAATTTGACATTTAAATTATCAACGAAGTCAACACGAACAAAATCAAAAGTAACTCGCTTCCTACCATAACAAAACACTTTTAACACCTATACAATTTGTCATGATAAATTAATAAAATGACTTACCTACAAAACAAACGCCATCTAGTGGTCCGACGGCGAACGAAGAACATCAATAAACTACAATAAACTACTTTGGATAAATCAAACAAAATGCGACGCGGGCAATAGGTGTCGCTGTTAACAAGTCCGTACGCAATACAAATATACTAAAAAATAACTGTTACAGCTCTGTTCTCTGCCACCAGACAACAGCACCGTAAGTGATTATTGGTCTTATGACTGTTCTGTAAAGCCATAGAGTAATCTTGGGTGATAGTCCCCAGCTTTTGCTGAGTAGCCTTTTGCATTGACAGAAGATAATGCAGGCTTTGTTCAGTTTTTCATTGAGGTGCTTATTCCACAGGAGTTTACTGTCCAATATTATTCCTAGGTATTTCACCTCTTTGGTAAGAGCAAGTTGCGTTCCAAATAGCTTGGGAAGTCTAAGGTTTCCTAGACTGCGTTTGTTTGTGAACATGATCATCTCTGTTTTCGATGGGTTCACTGTCAGGTTGTGTGCTGCACACCACTGTTCAACGATCTTTAGTGCAAGTCTCATTTGATCGCATGTAACGTTCTCAAAGGGACCGCTGATAAGGATAGTGAGATCGTCTGCATAGCCTATTGTGAGGAATCTTCGGTCATTGAGTTGTGTGATGAGTTCATCCACAACCGTGTTCCATAGAAGGGGGGAGAGTACACCGCCCTGGGGGCTTCCTCTAGCCACCACTCCTCTAGTCACTTCGCTCACAGTAAATTGAATGGCTCTATATCTTAGCATGCTGTCGATCCACACTGAAATTGTGGCATTAACACAATGTCTAGACAGAGCTTGGCTAATGCTGGTGAAACTGGTTTTGTCAAAGGCCCCCTCGATATCGATAAAGGTGGCCAGTGTTGACCTTTTTTGATTAAGATTGTCTGCCATATGTGATACAACTCGATGTGGGGCAGATTCTATTGATTTACCCATCGAGTATGCGTGCTGATTGTGGTGTAAGGGGTGACTGACTAACGCAGTTTCCCTAATTTCCCTATCTATTAGCCTCTCGAGAACCTTTAATAGGAAGGACGTGAGACTGAAAGGTCGGTATGATTTGTGTTGTGTGTAGTCACCTTTACCAGGTTTGGGAATGAAGACTACTTTAACACATCTCCATTTCAGGGGGATGTAATGATGCGCCAGGCAGCCCCTGTAGATTTTAACAAGGTGGTCCAGTAGTATCACATCACACCATCTCAGTAGGCCTGGGAAGATACCATCTAGTCCTGGCGCCTTGAATGGCAGGAAGCTGTTAAATGCCCATCTTAGTTTGTCACGGTTGACAACTTTTCGGGCCGTATCCCAGTCTGTATCATCTGGTGCTTTTTCCCATCTATCTTCCCATGTTTCCGTCACATCTGATATGCGACATCCAGGGAAGTGTGTTTTCAATAACAGCTCTGAGGCTTCCAAGTCTGTTTTGGTATACTCACCATCGGGCTTCTTCAGTGAGCCAAGATTGTGTTCGCTTCTGCTACACAATATGTTTTTGACTCTATTGGCCTGGTTGTTGTTCTCTATGTTTATGGAATAGGGGGCAAACGAGCAGACGGGTCACCTGATGGAAAGCGACTACCGCCGCCCATGATTGCTTGCAACTCAGGAGTCACAAGCGCATTTGAGGAATTAGTGACCTTTGGTATTACTCTATTAATACTGCTTCATTTCAATGCTGATGTTGGGTTGAGAGACTATAGGTATAAACAGAGGAATAGAATGGAGTGAAATCTTTTATCTGCTATGATAAAAATGATACGCTGTGGTTTGAAGTTGGATGGAAATTGCGTTGGATGGAGTTGTGAAACAAATCGGTACCAAAGAATCGTATTAATCTGGCACCGACAATGATGGTGCTGAAAAAACGATTAGTGTCAGTATTAAATTTTAATAAAGGAAACTCATTATTAATATACTTATGGTTTTATTTTGTAATTACTAAAAATAAGGTTTAGTGGAAAATTTTGTGCCCATTAGAATAGGGTCGTTTTTCGTTAGTGGTTTAAATGTTGAATTTGGTGGAGAGTTCATTTAACTGTTGGCAGCACTGGAGAGGCCTAAGACCCCAGAGGTTGATGGCACAGTTGTGGGTTCCCATCTAGGACAAATAATTGTGTGATGAGCAAAATCATTATTTTATTCTGTGTTTGTTTAGTAATATATAAGTATGTTTATCAGAAGTCTGGTGACCATACCACAGTCTCTGTTTACTTTAGGATTAAACAGCCGTGTTCGAGATATGTCATGTTTTAAGAAATTTGCCAATAAGAAAAAAGCCTTCCGGCTGGTTGAACCATTTTAGGATGTTGATTTACAGGACATATACATTATATATACATATACATTATATTATATATACATTATAGGACATTTTAGGATAGTGGTTTGTGTAACGGACTGCTAATCCAAAGGTCGCGGTTTCAATTCCTGCTTATGTCAAACATTTGATCATTTAATGTTTGATTTGGTCTGGGTGTTTCTATGTATAATATGTATGTATTTACAAAAAAAAAAAACTATATATGTATTTATATCAGTTGTCTAATAGCCATAGTACAAGCTCTGCTTAGTTTGGGGTTAGATGGTGTAGTGTAAATGTGGTAGAATATTATTATTATTATTAACCATTTAATAGGAGTTTAGGAGATACACACAGAATAACTATATAAATTATGTAGAAATAAATAATATATATTTTAGTAAAAAAACATCAAGATATTCAAATAACATAGAGCACATAACACAGCTGAAGACAAAATTAAATGTAGTTATTTCAAATGTTTTTTTATACAATATAATTAGTATTATCAAACGATGAAAATACTAGGTAACTGAAACATCAGCAAAATATTAAAATTTAAAAACTAATCATTTAAAGACAAATCTTAAAAATAATAAGCTTAATATTCATTTCCACAATTTGCAGTCTATGGAGTTTTATGAACCTCACTTGAGAGTCAAATTTTTGGTTTCTTCGGTAAAGATCCAAAGGCTGAGATAATAGTGCCCTTTGTGCCTGTGACATTACTTGTGAGTGGTTGCTGTACTAAGCCGGGTTGTTTGATGGTCGGTTTATTGGCTACGTTTGGAGCGGCTTGATCCCATTTAGATTTTCTCTTTTTCTCATCATCATCATCTGTTTTCTTTACTACGCCTGTGATAAAATCTATTTTAGCTAATTTTTCTTTTTTTTCCTTTTCTCTTCTATCCATTTCTAATTTCTGGACCCGAGACAGTTCATCATAATATGATTCTTTTCCCCATTTCAGTGGATCATAAATTTCGGGTGGATAATTTGTATCTGATTCATTAATATCACAAAACTGAATGAGCTTCTCGTAAATGCTTGGATTTCTAAAATTTTTCTTATCTTGTATAATCCTGTTCATATCTAATCCTTCAGTTAACATTCGGCTATAAAATTTTGCTATTGATTCTTGTAATTCTTTTGGGCATTTCCCTGGTGGTTCTGGGGGTATAGTTACACCATCCTGTGAATCATCAGGGTCAGAGCGAGGGATTGCTTCATCCGTATCAGTTTCCATTGATAGTCTCCGCATATCGTCTTGATTTTCTGGTGTAGGTGATATAGGTTCTTCATCAGAGACAACTGTATCGTCCACATAAGAAACCAATCTTCTCTTTGGAGATACTGGCGCTGAAGATGATTGTTTATTTTCCTCCGTCTTTTTAGGACTTGTAGGGGCAGACTGAACCTCTTTAACTTCATCCTTTTCTGGCGTCGGATCCTCCATATCTTCTTCCCCTTCTGAATCAGTATATGTTTCAGTAAGAGACGCTAGAGCCTGAGAAGCCATTGTGTAGCACTTTGGAGAGATTAATTATGACAGAAACTTTGTATAACAGCACAAACCAGGTGTACACAGGTTAGCTACGTTTAAAATTACCACACAACTTGTATATGCGGATCACAGGAGGAGATATTGATTTTTATATAACATGCAACTTCTCTCTAATTTGTGAATAGATATATGTTTACATAAAATTATTCTTTGTTTAGATTTAAGTTTAGTTGACTTTAGTTTAGTTAACTGACACTTCTTGACATAACAATCTATAAGTCAGTGAGAGTCCTCAACATAGAGGTAAAAGAATAGAGCACGCCAATCAAACCTAACCCATGCTTTGAGGTGTCCCTACGATGCGAGACAGATCGCTGCACACAGAGGCCCTCTCTATCTCTCTCTCACTGCATGAAAATCGTGATTATGATTAACGTGACTTGTGTATGTGAGGGTATTAGGAAGGAATTAGAGGCATCTACGTGCAACGATCTTTGTCGCACCGTGAAACACGGCGAGGCTTCTCTTGCGTGCTCTATTTCTTGCATTTTCTCTATGGTACTCAGAGTGCGTTCCACATTGCCGCGTCGGACAGGGTTGCTAATCTTAAAACTTTTTTTCTCATAAATCACATCATCACATCAACAGCCCTTAATAGTCCACGGCTGGACATAGGCCTCTCCTTAGAAAGGAGGTCTCATATATATACAACCTAAAAACTCTAAACTTTCAAAGCACTTAAAATATAAAACCAAAAAAAAAAGACATACTTGTTAACTTTAAAAAAATGAGACTAAACAAATAAAATGTAGATGTTAATTTAATGTTTTCAAAAAGACAAGCCTGTAGGTTTAGTGGTCAGTGATCCCAACTGCTAAAGCCAGAAGTTGTCGGTTCGATACTTATTCCGGACAAATAATTGTGTGATGAGCACGATCATTCGTTGTTTCTAGGTGTAAATCTTATGTGATACCTATGAATGTAGTTAGAAAAATAAATTGCCAAAAAAAAAACTATATCAAAATCTTCTACATAATTTTACGAGCCTGAGCGTGTTCTTGTATGACGTACAGAAGATCACTAATATAAATATTTGCACGAGGAACCTTGTTATCCTAGGGGCCAGGCCAGGGCTAGTTGTTACTAGTTGATGAACGTTATGTTTAATGTCAATTATTGACATTACACGTAACGTTCAGCAACTAGTTTAAGGAAGCAAGCAATTGCAGTTGAAATTAGCTTAAACCTCTAATATTGTAACTACTTATGAATTATTATTATACGTTACTAACTGACCTAAACTTTGTTCTACCATAATCACGAAAAAATATGGGGCTGGGGTTAGAAGGGTGAAAAAACTTAATGATCGACCTTTTCTCATACCTACCCACCAAATTAATATAAAAAAAAAAACATTAAAACTGCCTAGGAGTGCAACTATATAGACCGTGACACGAGAAATTTATATAATAAATTAACTATTGTAAACACAAATCGTAGTAAACCGGCAAAATGAAAGTTTCAAAATCATTCAGCAGTGAGCAGACTGCTATAGTAATGTCAAGCACGATTTTGACATTTCACTAGCGATTGGCAATTTGGCGAGTGATGGGGGAGTTGCGATGGAGATTATAGAAGTAATTATTCGTACGCAATTGAAAGTGTGATATGAAATGAAATAAGTAATCATACTCAACAATAGTATTGCTGTTACACTCCACTTAAGTGTTAAAAATGGCGACGCAACCAAGTGACTATACGGAGTTTCCGCCCGAGATAATTCTAAAGCCACTGGCTCTGATCGGGTTGTCTGGGCTCGATGCAGTGAACAATGCTGTGCATAAGGAGATATGGGATGCCTTCTCTAACAATCGCCGCGCAGACCGCACACCAGTGCGTTTTAAATTACTTAATAATACATTCGAGTTTCCAGTGGTTAAACCTAAAAGAAATTCGTACGAGTGGTACATACCTAAAGGAGTGTTAAAGAAGAACTGGATCCATAAGCGTGTTGCACTGATTCCGGCGGTAGTTGTTATATTTTATGATATGGACTGGAATGATCCCCAATGGAATGAAAAAATCATTGAGTGTGCATCCAAAGTGCAGTCAATACGCGCGGCGGTAGAAGGGCACTCGACGCGTGTAGCCGTCGTCGTTATACAGAGTCGTTTGTCACCGCCACCTTCTGAATATATGTTGGGTGCTGAGAGAGCTCAGGCCCTCTGTGCAGCTTGTGAAATACAGTCCAAGTCACTCTTTGTGCTCCCTCACAGTGATCATCTCATGGGCTACATTCTTCGTTTAGAAAACGCATTTTATGATATTGCTCAGAACCATTACCATCATGAAACAAAAAATATTAAACAACACAGAGACCATCTGAATAAAACAACTCACCAGTATTTATTTGTGAGGCACCAGTTTAAACTGGGCTATCTCAATGAGTTGAAGCAAGACCTAAGCACAGCTCATAAGCATTATATGCATGCCTATAATAACCTGCTTGAGTCTAGGATTGTGGACACCAACACTCATGAAGTGAGAACTGTGGCTGGGTATATCAATTATAAACTTTGTAAACTATTGTTTGCTCTAAATCTTCCAAGAGATGCAATAGCTCAGCTTAAGTCACACATTGAAAGATATAAAAATAGGATTGGGTCTACAGAGTTGTTGTTTGAACATTATGCTTGGATTGCTAGACAATACAGTGCCTTTGGAGAATTGTTTGATGAAGCAATACGGGCAGGGCTTCCAGCTATACAGTCACAGCATCCAGGGTTCTACTACCAACATGCAGCTCAATTCACTGTAAAGAGAAGACAAGCAATGCGATCGGTGTGTACTGATGCCACACAATACCCACCACCTCCAGATCCACTAGAAGGTATTGTTGAATTTTATGGTCAAAGGCCATGGAGACCAGGACGCCTGAGTGCTGACCCTCATGACCCTCAAAAAGAACAAGCAGCTGTTATGGCTCTACAACACAATGAGAGAGTATTTAATCATTCAAGTATGATCATTAGCTTCCTGGGCTGTGCAATCTCACAATTCAAAACATTCCACTCTCCTCGAATGAGAAAACAGCTGGTGGTTGAAATGGCAAATGAATACTTCTACTCAGCTGATTATGGCAAGGCTCTTACACTGTTAACTCACATGCTGTGGGACTACAGAAGAGAGAAGTGGTGGTTTGTAGCTTCACATGTGTTGAACAGAGCTCTGCAATGTGCATATTTATCTGCCAAAATACAAGACTACGTACAGCTGTCCATTGAAGCACTCTCAAAATATATTCAAGTGCCAAACAATGATAAAGACAGAATATTTACAAATATTATGTCAGTTCTAAATCTCAAGATTCCTGCTGCAGAACCAGATCTACCACTTTCATCTCAACAGAAGGCTCTGGACCTGTGGCAGTCAGCTATAGATAAAGAACCACTTTTAGTTCCTGTCGATATGGCTAACATTGCTAGCTTTTTGGAAGTGAAGCTAAAATTTAAACAGCCGAGGTATAGAATGGATGAAATTATTGAAATAGAGTTGTATGTGAGACTGTCCTACAATACAATCCTTGAAGTCAAGCAATGCTTTATAGCCATTTCTAGTCACACTGAAACCATTGAAATTCCAATTACAGAAAATGGCAGCTCTCTTATAACATTGGAAGGTGGGAAGGTCAAAAGGTTTCTGTGTCAGTTTAAACCAAATCCACGTGACAGTGGCACAGATTTGCACATTAAAAATGTGTCCTTTGTCCTTGACTCTGATTGTAAAAGGAAGATTGTAATGAACTTTAAAATAGATGAAAACAAAGTGTCTGAGTCAACTATCCATCCTGAATTGTTACATTTCATAAGGAGTCCTAAAACTGATTATGAATTTGACTGCATTGTGCCTTTAACCGTAGCATCAGTAACATCAAGAGAGTGCAAGCTATCACTACTTGTGAACAACTCCAGTCCAGCTCTCCAAGGCGAATGGTTTCCTTCTACTTTTACAATTACTAATAATGAAGAAAGCCCTGTGTATAATGTTAAGATAACACTGTCTTTACTAAGTTCTCCTGATAATCCAAACCCTGACTCTGTGACAGAACTGAGTCTCAAGGAGAGAGAACCTCAAACACAGCCACTTAAATTAAATGTGGGTAGTATTCACACAACAGAAAGTTATTCAAACATGTTTTATTTAAAGACAAACAGAACGGCAACTACAACTGTTCAAATAAAGGTCTCCTACATCATTGACCTGCCAGAAATATCTAAATTGGAATGCACTAAAGATTTTACAACAAAAATTACAGTGATCAAACCATTTGAGGTGGCCACTAGTTTTGTAGATATTAATTTTCAACCTATTTCAAAATGTTTTGTAGATGATCCTTTTATTGTCATGCCACAAATAAAGATATTAAGTCCTTGGGACTTACTAATAGTAGATACTGATTTAGAGGTTGTTGACTGCTTTAGACATAGTGATGCCAAGAAACCAATTTCCTGCATTAGAAATCTAGAAGTTGCTGAAAAGAATGTAGCATCTGATGCTGTCTGTATACAAGCCAAACACAAGCCAAGAGATAACCCTACAAGAGTTGGGTTGTACAATATAACATGGAGAAGAAAGACCAGCACCAGCCACTGTGTGATGAGCAGCACTGCACTTGCTGATCTGCCTATTGATGACTGTCCTATAGCCATTAAAGTCAATTATCCAGAAGTTGTGGAACTGCTCACATCGGTTCCACTTAAATGTACTCTGTTTGGAAAGTGTGCTACTCCTATCAGACTCAGTGTGACCGTAGAGGGCACTGATGCTTACATGTTCTCTGGATACAAGAAGTTGTCTGTTACAGTTCCTCCAAAGGGTAGAGTAGAGCTATGTTACAACATTCACCCTCTAGTCGCTGGCAACACCACTCCTCCACGATTAAAAGCTACTGTAATCGGAGGTGGTGTAAGCCAGGAATTAATCAGTGAAATGTTTGAAAAGATCTTTCCTCAGAATATATTTGTTATGCCTAAGTACAATAAATGAGAGTATGTAATGTTATTCCTTCAGATTTAAAAGTATTGTAAATAGTAAAGAACAAATTGCATAAGTTATATTGTAGTTACCTTGTAATTATTTTTAATAATAAATTCAGTTACTTGTTACTCATTTCTTTCAATCCCTATATAAGTCATAATATTTCCTTCCAGTTTTTTAAGCCCGAACTAGGCATAGTCACTGCTCTGCTGCTATTATTGCAGCAGTATGGTAACTTTAGTACACTTACTAAAACAACCTTACTGCTGATAAAGAGAAGACTACCAACCTGTGAAACAAGTTATAGGCTCTGGTATTTGTGGACCGATACAACCTTCAAACCTTCAAGAAAAGAGTGTACCCCTTCCTCAAAGGCTGGCAACGTGCTTGTGACTCCTGAGTTGGGGTGGCGGTAGTCGCTTTCTATCAGGTGACCCATCTGCTCGTTTGCCCCCTATTCCATAATAAAAAGACTACTGATACATACATACAATTTAAAGATAATCTTCCAGACAATGAATAATCATTCTCATTGGACAATATTATGTCCAACGTGGACAAGAATAAAATCCACTACTTCAGTTGCTGTTCCAGAGGGTCATTGACCACTAGACCACAGAGTCAGACAATTCCTCAATATTTAATGGTATTTTGAAGGAAGCTAATCGTTGGTTTGATGATGCAGGTTTTTGAGTAGCTTATTTAAGTCCCACTATGAAATCTGAGATATGTACAAAGATGGGTTAAAGTTAAGTTCTGAAGTTTTGTTTCAACAAAAACAACAATTGACAGCAATTGTAATCTGTTTAATGCAGAGTAAACAGTAACATATTTTAAAAAATCAAGGAAGGTTTGAAATTCAATGAAACAGAGGCAGTGTATTAAAAAGTTAATATTTATTACAATCAAAATTAATCTTTACGCAATTCGAACTTTTCTTCTTGGATGCCATTAGCAGTAATGATCAAGATGTAGATGCAGTCTCCTGTGTAAATGTCACGCTCAGCGGCACTGATGAACACATCCTTTAACAAAGCCAAGGCTTTTTCTCGTGGGATAGGGGCTTCTTTTACATTTTGCATATTTTTTAAGCCTATCTGATTGTCAAGGAGTGGCTGCAGCTGGGCGCCCGCGGAACCACCAGCGCGGTAGTTAGAGCGCTCACAGTGGCCAATTGGATCGTAGCTGTAAACACAGCCCTTACCCTCAGCATCCAAGCCTGCTAGTACGTTGGACACGTAATAAGGGAAGAAGCGTTTATAATATAACATAGTAGAAAGCATCTGAGCCACGGCGGGGGTCGTCATTGACTTGTTGTGGTCATGTTCGTACATCTGCATTCTCGCCTGAAGCAATCTCGTTAAGGTAAGGGTATCGCACCAACATCCCGTAGCTCCCAGAACCGTTTTGTCCGACAACTTAAATAGTTTCTTCTGCTCTCTTGTGTAGATTGAAAAACCGGTGCTGAGACGGGTATCTGCACCAATTACAGCGTAATCCTCACCGGCAATGGCAACAATGCTGCCTCCATTGTCAGCGTACGGCTCAAAGCGAACTTGTTTGGCTCCAGGAACAGCATATTCAGGGAAGTTTCCATCAATGCTCAACATTTTGGTAGTTTATAATTCAACAATTTGTTTGAAATTCACTAAACGAATGACACGCAAAAATTCACAAGACCACTAAACAAAATTTCTAATTGTCATTATAGGTAGTTTGACACACGATACTACTATCCCATCTGACGCATTACTCGGTAGGTTATTAGAATGAGATACCAAATAGGAAATGCCGTATTTCACACTTATTAACGGTGCTGGAATAATGCTCTTCATAGATACTAAAGTATTTTTTTTCTTGTGTGTGGATACTGAGTTTAATAATTTTTCTATTTAGTTGATTTTATTTTTACAGATTATTCAGTGAGTTTCTTTAGATTGATAGCTTATTTCCTTTGTTTATTTTTATTTATTTTAGTAGTATTTATTACTCTTTAAGTTTCAAAGCAATATATAGTCTAAAATCTCTCTCACAACTCATCAACCTGTCAACTTAGTAATATAGATCTGACCTGATCTGTTCTGATCTGACCTTGGTGCTTTGTACTTTCGGTTTGTTGCTTGTCTGCATGACGTTCGATTTTAGAGAAGATGTTGTCTAGGAATTGGTTTTTGTCTCTTCGGCATTAACTTTGAATCCGTCTAGAAAGGACCGTGTTTCTTTCTTCATAGTCGTCAGGTCTCATACCCTTCTTGAGCTCTTTTCGCTGTTTAATGCAATACCAAGCCTCATTTAACATCCACTCCTTTATATGTTTTGGTGTTTTGCTCATGGATGCGAGTGCATTGGTGATTTCAGTTTTAAACTGTTGCTACTGTTCATCGGGGTTCAGATGTGCTACATTATCCGATGTCAGTTCTGCAAGTACAGGCTCCTTTTTATTAGCTTTCTTGAGACATGATTTTAGACGTACGCTAATATGTGCAACTAGAAGTTGGTGATCCGTGTCACAGTCCATCAGTCACATCCACTATAGAGAATGAATTTAAAAAATATCAATAAAAAAGATTATTATGGAAAATTAAGAACCAGTAATTTAACTAAATTTCTCTAACATGTCCTTGTGTACATTCAAAATAGTGAAATGACAAAAAAAAACAAATAGCACAGACACCTCGTGAAGGAACGGGTGTCATGTCTCTCCAACACAAAGGGAGGCTTCTCCGATCAGGCTAGGTAATCATACCTAGCTAGCCGCGGCCGAACCGTTATTGTTGGGCAGTTGTTTATATGCGAATCGGCGAGAGAATTGTTAATATCGCTATACAGGATTAGCAGTTACTCTGTAGTTCAGTGTCTCTTCTAATACAATGTACCTATCTTCGTTTTACTGTGTGTGGAAGTCGCCACAACTTCAAAATAAAATGTAGTTAGCTATTGCATATTCAAAGCAGTAGGTATGCAATAATAAAGAAAGTCGACAGTCAGTGTAAATGAAAGTTTCTTTTTCTTTCTTTAGATTGATTCATTTTGATCGCAATATTTTGTAACTATTTCTCTTTGGAAATTTAGTTTTATGATCTATTACCAATCAGAAGAAAATACGTGTAATCCTAATGTCACACTGTCAAAAATGACAATTTGTCGTATCTGGTGAAGTCCGATTTCCTCACTTTCCGATTGAGAAGTTAATAATTAAAATGTCTTCATTAACGGCTGTTATTCCTAAATTGTATCAAGAATACATAAGCAAAACTCCTAAGAAGCTAAAGATTATCGATGCTTACTTACTATATGTGTTTTTGACCGCTGTTATACAGTTTGTGTACTGTTGCCTTGTCGGCACTTTTCCATTCAATTCTTTCTTGAGCGGTTTTATTTCTACGGTCAGCTCATTTGTTCTTGGAGGTAAGCGCTCCTTTTTCTAATGTCTACGTATCATTGCTCATTTAAATATAACCTGTCGAACCTGTGCGTATAATGAACCAATGTTTTGTTTCCAGTATGTCTACGTTTACAAGCCAACCCAGAAAACAAGAATGAATTCCAAGGTCTAAGTGCAGAGCGTGGATTTGCAGACTTTATATTTGCACATCTTGTACTTCACATTGTTGTTATTAATTTCATAGGTTAATGTTTTGTAATCATACACTGATAAAGTAATAAAATATATTGATTTAGGATTTTTCTCAATAAATAAGAATTACAATTTTATCATGTTACAATTATATCCCCTCTGAAGCATTAGTGGTTTTGTTTGGCAGATTACCTGCAGTAATATTCTGAGGATAGTTAGAAACAGAACTTCTCTTGAACAAACTTCTTACTCATAGCATTTACGTTACTTTGACTTTCTTAACATTAGAGTAACTCAATAACGTAATATTGAATCATGAAATTCATGACAGGCAACAGTTAAAACCTTAAAACTACAACAAATTTTAGTGTACATTTTGTAGTTTTATATTTAATGTTTAATTAAAATATTGTTTCTCAGATGTTAGACTAGATGCTAATAATTTAATTTTATACCAAAAATTACTTATTATAAGCATTGTCATTGAAGTAAAATGCAGGCAAATATTAGGATTTTTCTCAATAAATAAGAATTACAATTTTATCATGTTACAATTATATCCCCTCTGAAGCATTAGTGGTTTTGTTTGGCAGATTACCTGCAGTAATATTCTGAGGATAGTTAGAAACAGAACTTCTCTTGAACAAACTTCTTACTCATAGCATTTACGTTACTTTGACTTTCTTAACATTAGAGTAACTCAATAACGTAATATTGAATCATGAAATTCATGACAGGCAACAGTTAAAACCTTAAAACTACAACAAATTTTATTGTACATTTTGTAGTTTTATATTTAATGTTTAATTAAAATATTGTTTCTCAGATGTTAGACTAGATGCTAATAATTTAATTTTATACCAAAAATTACTTATTATAAGCATTGTCATTGAAGTAAAATGCAGGCAAATATTAGGTCTTTACCTATGAAATTGCCGTTTTGTATGCAATAAGTGCAAGTATTTATTTTTTCAAACTTTTTTTTTTTATTATTTTAAACTTCAAACTTTTTTTATTATTCGAAGTAATCACCCATGCAATCGACGCATATTTGCCAACGCATTGGCAGTTTATTGATGCCCTTCTTGTAATAATCAGCTGGACGGGAGGCAACAAACTCTTCAAAGGCATTTTGTACTGCCTCTCGGGAATTGAATTTTTTACCATACCGGGAATTGAGTTTTATTCAGTCAGTATGAGAGTAGTTACAAGGTAGTTGAGGTTAAAGGCAAACAAATTAGAAACTAATACATTGCTTTTGAATTGTGTGATTTAAAGTATGAGTGATTAAGTGATGGGACTTGATGCAGGGGTATACTTCTAGGTCTCTCCACACTCCATGTGGCCAAATACAAGCATTTCCTATTTTAAAGCAAGGTAGCATTAATGGCATCCAGGTTTAGCCAAGTGCCTCTTGCCCACACCATAGCTTCCTGTCTGTAAGCCACATAAGCTCAGTTACATTAAAAAGTAATCAAAGCAGAGTAAATTTATTCTATCACTGGCTGTTAACATGTTCAACGTTTTGTAAATATGACGCCTATCTTTGTGGCAGCTTAAGTGACACTCATGTTACATTTATTCTAAGTATTCTAAGTGAGATAAACACTAACTCAGTTATTCTCACTTACTCAATAAAAAGCAACAAAGGAATTGCTCAAATCGGATTTCTTGTGAGGCTGTGATATCATTCATATGCCAGTTGTGTTATTATAGTGAATAATTGCTTAGTTCATATGTCAGTTGTGTTATTAGAGGAAATGATTCCATAAGAATTTGCGTTCGTCGAGGCATTTTAACGCGATTTATTGTTCCTATACTGAACTGTTTCAAATCTGAAACTAACAAGACCCAGACATGTAACAAGTTACGAGCAAGTAACATACTGCTAACGCAAATAACCAGCGTCTTTACCCGCTCCCACTACTTGCACCGTGTAGAAGCACCCTTAATACAAAATGTATAGCAAGTTCTTACAAGTGTCATCAGTCTACAGTATGGTTTAAAAACATGGCAAAAGTGAGAAGCCATTAGTCATAACAGACATTCTCATCATCATCATCATCAGCCTTTACTAGTCCACTGCTGGACATAGGCCTCTCCTTAGAAATGAGGTTTTGGCCTACTACACCACGCTGGCCAGACGGGTTGGTATAGGGTTTGTGTCAAGTTTTCCTTCTCTCTGCAGTGCTGTTGTCCTGCGTAGTTTGCTCCCTTAGTCGCCTTTTACGACACCCACGGGATGAATATAGGGTGGTGGCACTCTGTATTCTTAATCCGTCACCACACGGACAGAAGAACAGACATTCTATTTACTTTTTAACTAGCTGGAACCCGCGACCAAGCGCGTATTCACCGTTGTTGGCACGATGGGCATAGGCACAACCCTAATAGACTTGTGACGTCACAACATTTTATGACGTCTCATCTCATCGAAGCATGCGACCAAGATTTATACCCCAACCTAAAAATGTTCCTTATAAATACTGGCAACTCGCCTGGTCAGCGTAGCTACAACAGAGAGATCGTTTTCTGGTCTTCGCAGAATAAAATCTTATTTGCATTACATACGCTAAGATGTGCAGCTGAATATCGATAAAATGATCAACGTTTTCGCGAAAAAGAAACGTAACCTTGAATTTGTAATTAAGTAAGCACCTAAATAAAGTTGTTTAATGTAAAATGTATCATCATTATAAACAGCCTCTAGCAGTCCACTATTGGACATAGGCCTCTCCTTAGAAAGGAGGTTTTGGCCTACTATACCCACGTTAGCCAAACGGGTTGGTTTAGGGTTTGTTTTTGCGTCGACGTCGTCGCCCATGGAGGAGGTTGTAGAGACGATCCAGTAATGGATCAAGTCTCCAACCTCCTGGTCCAGACGAACCTGAACCACTGTGCCGCGGCGCAGGATCTCTTCCTGCAAACCATGGCACAGTGGTCGATAGGTGTTGCCGTAGTCGCGGAGCCCTATTCTGTCCCTCCCCGTCCAAACTGGATGGGTGACTGGGACGGCTCCGTGGCAGTCGTCGGTTCCACGACGGCTCATTCCCCGCCCTTGTCGCTAAGAGACAAGGGCACTGGATATGTTGCCGTCGAGTGGGGGGGGATCACCATATATGGTGTTTATTTCTCCCCCAACCGGAGTTTGAACGACTTCGAGGTTTTCCTAACCAGCTTGGAGACCTCGATACGGCGACTAGCGTCTGGGCACGTCCTTGTGCTGGGGGACTTCAACGCAAAGTCCATTGAGTGGGGTTCCCCCAGGACGGACGCAAGGGGCGAGGCCGTAGAGGAGTGGGCGGCCTCGGTGGGCCTCTGTCTTCTCAACAGAGGCTCCACCAACACGTGCGTGCGACAGCAGGGGGGGTCGATAGTGGACCTTTCGTTCGCTACCCCTGCTCTCGCCGCACGAGTAAGGAACTGGCGTGTCCTGGAAGAGGTTGAGACGCTCTCGGATCATCTGTATATCCGATTTGAGCTCTCCCGGACCCAGGACTCCAGTAGGGGTCACGTGGCGCGGCGTTTATCCCGCTTTCCGCGGTGGGCTGTTGCCAGACTGAACCGGGACCTACTAGAGGAGGCAGCCATAATTCACTCATGGCTGTCTCCTCAGGCTCCGACCGAGGAGGTCGACGTGGGGGCTGGTCGCTTTCGCGATGCGATTACGCATATCTGCGATGCGGCCATGCCCCGCATTCGAGGTCGTCGGCCTCCAAGGAAGGAGGTCTACTGGTGGTCCCAGGAGCTGGCGGACCTCCGTGCGGCCTGTCCACGTGCCCGGAGGTCCTACACGCGCAGTCGGCGGCGTCACCGTGGAGACGGTGAGGAGGACCGGCTTCATGAGGAGTACCGACAGGCGCGGAAAACTCCAAAGCTGGCCATTAGCCGCGCCAAAGAAGAAAAGAGACAGGAGATGCTGGAGGGTCTTAATCGTGACCCCTGGGGTCGCCCTTACCGCGCGGTGCGACAAAAGCTCCGCGCGTCGGGCCCCCCCCTTACGGAGACTCTCCAGCCCAGCTTCCTGCGAGAAGTGGTTGAGGGCCTTTTCCCACAACGAGCGGAACACACTCCCCCGGCGATGGCCTCCTTGGCCGGAGACGACGGGGAGCACGGGGAGGATAATGTTCCGCCCGTCCGGGATTCGGAGGTAGGGGCGGCTGTTCTACGGATCCGTTCCAAGAACACCGCCCCTGGGCCAGACGGGGTACCGGCCCGAGTGCTGGCCCTGGCCCTCAACCACATGGCAGACCGCCTCGGGGAGGTGTTCGACGCTAGCTTGGCGTCGGGACGCTTCCCTGAGTGCTGGAAGAGCGGGAAGCTGGTCCTATTAAGGAAGCCGGGACGGCCTGCCGATTCGGTCGCGGCCTATAGGCCCATCGTGCTGCTGGACGAGGCGGGTAAATTGTTTGAGAGGGTTCTTTCTGCCCGCATCGTCCGGCACCTCTGCGAGGTGGGCCCCGATCTGTCGGACGCCCAATTTGGTTTTCGGGCGGGGCGTTCGACAGTCGACGCCGTGTTGCGCCTGAGGGCCGTGACCGAAGAGGCCGTGAGCTGTGGCGGCGTGCTGTTGGCGGTGTCATCAGACATCGCCAACGCATTCAATAGTCTGCCATTCAGCTGCATCAGGGAAGCACTCCACTATCATGGGGTGCCAAAGTACCTGAGGCGGCTAGTGGCAGACTATTTAGAGGAGCGTACCATCGTGTACGAGGACCGAGAAGGTAATTTGAGGTGTCGGCCCATGTCGTGCGGTGTTCCACAGGGGTCTGTTCTTGGACCCCTCTTGTGGAACATAGGGTACGACTGGGCCCTTCGCGCCGATTTCCCCCCCGGGCTGGGTGTAATCTGTTACGCAGACGATACCCTGGTGACAGCCCGGGGGGCAAACTTCCAAGAGGCGGCGCGCCTGGCCACAGGGGGAGTCTCCCTGGTGGTCGGGCGCATTGAGGCGCTGGGCTTACGGGTGGCCCTAGATAAGACGGAGGCCCTGTTATTTCATGGGCCCCGTCGTGGTCCACCCCCTGGCGCCTCAATCGTGGTCAACTCGGTCCTCGTACCGGTTCGGGCCCAGATGAAATATCTGGGCCTGATCCTCGACGGGAGGTGGCTCTTCGACGAGCACTTCCGACAGCTTGCTCCAAAGCTGGTCGGCGCTGCGTCTGCCCTAGGGCGACTTTTGCCCAATATGGGTGGACCCAGCGTCGCGACAAGACGGCTGTACACGGGGGTTGTCCGGTCAATGGCACTGTACGGTGCACCGGTGTGGGCGGCGGCTCTGACCGCCCAGAATAGGGTACGCCTCTGGCGCCCTCAGAGGGTAATGGCTGTCAGAGCCATACGCGGTTACCGCACCGTTTCGACGGAGGTGGCATGCGCGTTGGCCGGAACTCCCCCGTGGGATTTGGAGGCGGAAGTGCTCGCCGAAGTTTATCGGCGAGTGGCTGACTCCCGGGCGGAGAGCGGATTTCGCCCTCCGCCCGAGGATGTGCGCGAGTGGCGCGAAGCCGCTCGCCGAGCCACGATGGCTCGTTGGTCGTTCCGGCTGGAGACTCCACGCGCTGGCTTCGCCGCCGTGGAGGCTCTCCAGCCGGTCATCGCCGAGTGGGCAGGGCGGCAGCACGGGACCCTTTCCTTCCGGCTGACGCAGGTGCTTTCCGGGCACGGTTGCTTCGGAAAGTACCTGCACTCGGTCGCTAGGAGGGAACTGAGTCCCGCCTGCCACTACTGCGACTGCAGTGAGGACTCGGCCCAGCACACGCTGGCGGTCTGCCCCGCATGGGCGGCGCAGCGCCGGGCCCTCACTGCAGTCATCGGAGTGGATCTCTCGCTACCGGCCGTAGTACGCTCCATGGCCTGTAGCGACAGTTGTTTTACCGCGGTCGCAACTTTCTGCGAGGTAGTAACCTCGCGGAAGGAGGCGGCGGAGAGGGCCCGGAAGGACGACCTCCACTCGGACCCGATCCGCCGCCGGCGAACCGGGCGGCGGAGGCCCGCCTATCACAGCCTCATGCCGCCCTGAGTGTGGCCGCGGGTGGACGGGGTGGGTTTCCCCTCCACCCGCATTAGTTTGGCCAGCCGCGAGGGGGCGGCGTCCGCGTGTGCCGGACGTCGCCTAAAGAGAGGAAAAAGAAAAAAAAAAAAAAAAAAAAAAATTGAGACGGAGCCCGCACCAGGAGCGGGCTTGCGCTAGGAGGGGTCCGGATGTCTTAACAACAGCTGTTCCCGGATCCAAAAAAAAGGGTTTGTTTCAAGTCTTCCTTCTCTTTGTAGTGCTGTTTTCCTGCGTAGTTTGCTCCCTTAGTAGGCTCTTACGACACTCAAGGGATGAAAAGGGGTGGTGACACTATTCTTAATCAGTCACTACACGGACAGTGAAATATACTAGCGTTTAATTTACTTTGATATCCTTTGATCTATCTTACCTACTAGTGTTTGTCCCACGACTTTGCCGACGTGGAACTATATACTGTACAAAATCTTGGTCAGGGCGTCATATTTTGAAAACATCTCCTTTTTAGGAATGCACTATGTTATACTGATCATGAGCGAGTTCATACTCCGACTTGCACTTGGCCGACTTTCAGGTGGCTGTGACCACCTTTTTTGAGGTCTGGATACGCGCCTCCCCGCGACTTCGTTTGCGTGGAATTTGAGAAGCGCTGCCTCAGTGGTCAGTCATCAGACCATGAGGCCATGAGGGTTCGATTCCCAGATACTCCTTATACTTAGTATATAGTTACTTCTTATATAGACGGTGGTAAAATATTATCAAAATCGGTCCAGCTGAAGATTACCCGGCACAAACAATCAGACGGACAAAAATATTTAAACTGGTTTTTAGGCATAGGTATCGTGCAAATTACCATGTGCGCATGAAAAAAAACCTATTATTTTGATATTACAAACAGACACTTCAATATTATTTGTTTGTATAGATAATGGATATGCTGTAAAATAAAATGCCCATTATCGCCCCATAATACAGTTAATCCCAAACAAGCAGTTTCGATTTTATTTCAAGTACATATACAAGTAGTATAAGTAAGTATACGCAAGCACGTACACACACACATACACGCAAGCACGCACGCACACACAAACACACACATGCACTAATATCCTACCCTTTTTAAGTCGTTCCTCAAAATCTAGATGTATACTTCTCTATCGTTAAGGAGAGAGCCTGGGGTTTCGAACCTACTACAAACTACAGTTAACACTAAACAATGCAATATAATTTTAATAAATATCTGGCTAACTGAAAGACTGGCGTATCGGCTAATACGATTAAATCCGTACAGTTCACTTTTCATAGGACACAAACATATTTATTTTTTATTTATTTATTTATATGATTACAATACAACTATTTTAACAGGTTTTGTACCTAATACAATAGTGTAGCCATTTGTTGTTAAAAACATATATAGTAGTAAATAACACTTATTTTATAAACAATTTTAGCAACCTCATTCATCACTACAGCCAGAGACACAGTCACACTCATATACTTCCAATCACACACATCACAGACAAACCACTCCCAGACACGGCACATACTGACCCGCCTATCACACAACCACTCGTCCCGGGCGGGCCCACTAGGCCGACAGGCCTCACGTATTACGGGTCTATGTTATAGCAAGTAACATTCAACGCTACTCTTGTGAATTCACTCAGAGCACAACAGAATATGTCCATCTCGCTGGCTATTAGGTTTAATGTGAACGGTGTTACTTCGACTGGCAGACGCGCATTTATGATACTTTAAAAAGTCATGCGTAAAACTATAATATTAATATGAAAAAGGCCAGCAGTCTCTCAGACAATGTCATTTCACAGCAAGAGCGCCTAGTAATAGGTCAACAAATGCGTATGGTCTTGGATGGTCAGAAGGAAATCAAAACTGTCATTAATATTTGAAACATTCATTTTTAAAAGTGCGTGTTAAAACGAATTTGAATTGAGTAGTCTTCGGAGTTGGCTACTACTGACTCCATGAGTTAATAATGATTTCAAGAAAAACTAATGACAGATTGCATAAGGAGGTAATTACGAAAATAGTCAAAGAAGAAATGAAACTGTGTAGAAAAACCTTTAAAAAGTATTGAGAGAAACATTGTTTTTTTTTATCGAGTGAGAACATTTGTTTAAATGTAGGTTTCATTAAGTTCCTCTGTATAGCATTTGGAAGATTTTGGTCTTGTCAAATGTCGCTGGTGTTTCGCCGGCTGCTGTGCTGCTCGAAGATATCTGCCTTTGATGATTTGAGGGTTACATTATCGACCAACTAGTTGATCACATACTACTATTATTATGATGGAAGGAAGAGGTTTAAACAAACAGCGGTTAATATCTCGTATCTTTATTTTGACTAGTCATGAATCAATTTTCATAGTTATTTTAATCGTTATCGCAGTAACTTAACACTGTGGCTAATTCAAATACTAAAATAATAAACATAAATAAGTACTCATCTCTTCCGTCACTCGGTCGCGGACTCGTCGCGAGCGATACAACTAATAGTCTTTCGGTCGATACCGACTAGCCGACTAATTCACTTAACAATTTTATCGAGAGTTTTCTAATATCACATGTATCAATCTCCCCCCCCCCCCGCCCCCCCTGCGGGCTCAGGGCGCGCGCGGCAGGCGGCGCAGGTAGCGCAGGCGCGCGCCCGCCACCAGCCGCTCCTTGCGCCGCGCCAGCGCCGCCGCGCGCGACGCCGCGCTGGGGGCGAACCCGCCCAGCGACCTGCCGGACAACACTCACGTCACCACTGAGACCGAGCTTCGACTTTATCACAGTACCGGCTTGTTAGTGATCAAAACTCAACTAAAGCCGATTCTCTTTTATTTTAAGAGAGCAACGACATCGATCTAGTAATTATTTAATAACTGCATTATTCAAAGGAATTTTCAGAAACGTTTGATAAATCAAGCGACTATTACTCATCATATTTTTGCAAATTATAAAGCTACCGATTTAACTCGTACAGAAATAAATACTAGGCAGCAAGATAAGCTACAACATATATACAGAACTAGCTTTTACCCACGTATATAACGATTTTTACGACAAAAAGTTCTCTTTACTAAAAAACTAACTATCTCCATACCGAATTTTATCTAAATCACTTCAGGTTACTCATTTTCAATACAAACTTCAAACCCCCTTTTCACCCCCTTAAAAGATGATTTCTGAAATAAAAACTATCTTTTATCTTTGCCCGAGAGTCAAACTACCTCTATACCAAATTTTATCTAAATCGACTCAGCGGTTTAAGTGTGAAGGGGTAACAAACAGATACATAGACTAACACTTTCGCATTTATAATATTAATATGGATTTCATTCAGGTATTCATTCCCGTATCCATTATTCTTAAAGAATCTTAACAAATCATTTACAATAACGTGTAGATTTATCTTAGTAAAATTAAATATTAAATAATGTTGCGAGTTATTAATATTATAAACAATCATGAAGTACTATTTGACTATAACTTGGTCTGTATCTGTTTCTGTAGAACTAATCTCTAATAATCCATATTTTATTTCACATCCATATACATTTTTTTCAACGATCCGACACATCACTGTTACTAGCAGTGTACCCATAGATACCAAATCTTTTAAAATAATAGATGTACTGGATCGGGATATAAAACTAGACTCTTTCAAAGGTGCTTTAGAAGACCAGGTAAGCCTTAACAAAATAATACACACACAAAAAATTACACTAAAGTAACTTACACGTCATCCTCTACCAAATTTTCAGGCGCAACTGTACTGTGTCCCGTTCCCCTGTTGGAGCGCTCTATAGTATCAGTGCCTGCCGTGCTCGTAGTTGGTAACAGGTACGCGGACGACGGAGGTGTCCAGGGTTCGATCGTGGACGTCGCCACGTCGAGGAGTGTGGGCTGTTGCTGCACAGGCAATGGCTCAGGTTCAGGGATAGGTTCGGCCGCTACCAGGCGTCCTTCGAGGATGTTATCAAGAGTCAGGTCGGCAGAGGCGGTTCTTGACAAATCCGCAGTTAGGGTCGCTATTGAATACTGCGGGAACATGTGTTGCAGCTGCTGAGCCGTGTTGTCCAGCGCCGGGCCCGGGGCCAGCTCGCCGCGGACACGGGTCACTTCCACGGAGAAGCTCGGCAGCCAAGACACGTAACGGGATCCTTAAACATAATATACAACATATGTAGGTAGTACGTCCAGTTTTGTGTTTTCTTTAAAAAAAAAACCAGTTTTCGTCGTTTGGATCCTCATCCACTGATCTGGCACAAAATTCAAGCTTTTTAACATAATGTACAGTACCTTTAGAATCATTTACCTATTGATATTTCTGTACTGCAAGAATCATGTAGCTATTGGTACTTCTACACGTCAATACATATTCTCGATAAACGATACATTAATTTAATTTTATTAAGTGGTGGGATATAAAATGTATGTACTAATTTAACGTTTCGTTCACGTTCTGACATCATCATCTGGCAACTAGGCATGAGACAAAATCACAGTGAACTGTGAAAGACCGGTGATTTATCATTCGATTTTTTGGTACGTTGGTTAGGGTTACTACTTACTCACGCGATGTTTCCAATAAGCTGTTTTCAGACGATGCATAAAGACCCTATTTCGCCTATAGCTACCATTAACTACATAATAATTTGAAACTACTGGGTTTACTGTTAAATAGCGTCTAACCTACCTACCTAGCAACCCTAACCTACGTACGCAAAAATTGAATGTAAAATAACAGTTCACTGTGAATTTGCCCCATGTCTACTGGCAACATCTATCAATTCAATATTGATGTATAGAACAGGTCCTGCCTGGTTAGAGTTCAGACAGTTGTGTGTAAGATATTTTGATGTAGTTTATATTAGGACCTGTTAACATGCTCCATGCCAGAGCTGCACACAACAGCATAAAAACGAGCACGGTGTACAGCACGCTGACCACCGCCGAAGAGCACCGCGGCTGAACTTTCATTTATCCATAATAATTTAATTCCGTGCTTGGTCACACGCTCTACTTTAGAAAGTCCATTTCCCGTGCACGTTTTTGCAATTCCGAACTTTTTTACAATGAATCCATCGGTTATGATTGATTTTAGATGTCTGAATATAAATATGGGGAGTGTAGAACTATTTAATATTTTTGGTTTGGTTGACACTGACAGGAATTTTGCTGTTTGACAGAAGTTGCCCAATGAAAGGTGTCTCCATCATAGATAATTAGAGTATGTTTTTTTTACGATAAGCATGGCATGGGTATATAGTATTTATTCCTAAGGGCTGTTGTCGTAATAATTTACGTTGAGAATTAAGTCAAGAAGTAATTTGAGTAACAAAAATTGAGCATTTACCTATGTTAAAATCGTTGGATGGCGGTGGGAGCAAGAAAGAGGCAGAGACGAGTTGAATTAAAGTTAATTAACGGGTGATGTCTCTTAAATATATTAAAATTTAATTTACACGATTTTCAGATAAATTAATACATTGATATCCAGTTGTTGTAGGTTCGGAGTGAATCTCCAATTATAGATTTTAGTGCAAAGGTATGCGATGAGACTAAATCTATATCTTATGTCTGTATTTTCGTTACATGCTAGGTACAAGTATTTCGTTATCTACTTATCTAAAATGTGTGGTTTACATAAATATTTAGGTACTAATATAAAAAAAGTTCTGCTATTCATCGATAGATGGCAAAACTAAAAAGTATCACCGCTGTGCCGGTCGGAGTGGGAGGTGTTAGGTTATTTTCGTTACGGAATATCTGGATTCGGTCTCCGCGCTCAAGGCCCGCGATAGAAGCTATGCAATAGCTTAAAAAAAAAACATTATACGTTTTTAAATTATGAGATATGTAAGATTGTATGTTCCAAAATATGACGTTTAAGTGTGAATCCATTCATTAGTCGATGAATAGTCATCATTAGTTTTGAGATTTTCGTAGACTTAGCCTAAGACGGTGCAATATGACGTAGGAACGGATGTAAGTTCCAGTAGACACACAAGCGGGTGCAGTACGTACCGTCGAAGTGGAAGAGATGGTTGGGCAGCGGCGCGGCGTGAGGGGCGGGGCGCGCGGGCGCGGCGCCGGCCAGTCCGCGCCGGCACGTCGGGCACGACGCGTCCTGCTGCACCCACTGGCACAGGCACGAGCTGCAACCGATCGGTATTGCCGTCAGGGTAACGTAAAAACGTTTTTAAATTACTTTTTTGACAAAATCGCTCAACGGAGCGCCTGCCGAATTACAACCTGTGGGCCAAGCGCGAGTTTAATTTACATGAACTCGCTCTCGATAGCGAGCGCGTTCGGGGTCGCGATCGGTCCGCGTTGAACTCTACACCAATATCAGCACCGAACGCGGTCACCGTGACGATCGTGTAGGAGTAAAATAAACTCACACTAGGCCCTCTGCTCGTTTTTTTTCATGATTACTACGTTGGCGTGGCGATACTGCGGCGATGTCGTCGATACTTTGTGTCGCCGATCGGCCTCATGTCACACCTACTTATTACTACCTATTAATTTGCGTCACTTAAATAGACGTGTCGTATCACTTATTATGTGCTAATAAGGTATGAACGTTTTCGTATGCATAATAGTATGAGTAAAATAATAGGTCTTTACCTATGAAATTGGCGTTTTGTATGCAATAAGTGAAAGTACTAATTTTTTCAAACTTTTTTATTTCTGTTATTCGAAGTAATCACCCATGCAATCGACGCATCTTTGCCCACGCATTGGGAGTTTATTGATGCCCTTCTTGTAAAAATCAGCTGGACGGGCATTTTGTACTGCCTCTCGGGAATTAAATTTTTTACCCACTAAAAAGTTGTCTAAATTTAAAAAAAAGTAATAGTCGGTAGGTGCAAAGTCTAGTTCAGTTTTCTATACAACGTCTTTTTTTTTTGTTTACCATTAAGAGTATAAAATATCAGCATATTTTTTAAAGTAAGATTGAAAATCACGGCTAGATTTATAAAAAGATTCTGGAATCAGTTCACAGTTTATGACCTTAACGGTTAAAGTCTGTTATACTTTTTACGTCTAATAAATATAATTCATCTCTTTTTGCTTTACTTAAAAATAGCACGTATGTATAATCTAACTTAATACATATTTCCTACAATGAATCAGACGTCGAAATAGTCTTAGACAGTAATAATCAAAAACTACAAATGTCACTCACTTGTGGAAGAGATGTGAGCAAGGCAGCTTCCTTGCTTCCTTCATGGGCTCCCAGCAGATGGCGCAGTTGTCCTGATTCTTGTCAACTTCTTCTTTACTGGCCATCGGGTAACTGTATACCATTAAAAACAGTTATTTTACGTTTAGTCAACCATATTGATCTCAGGAAGATTTGTTTTTTTTTATGTATTAGGAGGCAAACGAACAAAAACCTGAAGGTAAGTGACTATCGCCGCCAATGGACCTGCAACTCAAGAGATAAAACTGTGGTGTCACCATTGTCCTGCCCCCTTTTTTTATGTTAGAGCCGGCAGACGAGCAGACGGGTCACCTGACGGAAAGGGACTACCGACGCCCATGAACGCCTGCAACTCAGGAGGCACAAGCGCGCTGCCGGTCTTTGAGGAAGGAGTACGCCCTTTCCTTGAAGGTTTAGAAGTAATACCGCAAACGACTACTTGATCCACAGATTGGATGTGCGGCAAAAAGTATCTTGAAAGTGGTGGATCAGGGGTGGATAATTTTTGAGGAACATAACCACTGCAGTAGCAGTGTAACTGCACTGATAGCATAGTGGTTTAAGCGGTCACCTCCCCGCCTACTACTACGCTGAGTGTTGTGGCTCCGATCCTCATACGGGACAACACTATGTGTGATCCACAAATTGTTGTTCTGAGTTTGGGTGTTCTATGTGTCCGTTTCATGTTTGTTTGTAAACACACGACACAGGATATATACCTAATGCGGGAGTTGTCTATTTTAAAGAAAAAAAAATTATCGAGTTTTCGTATCAAACATTAATTACCAAGAGACAATGGGAACGTGACGTCTATTAACAATTGACTCGTAGTACTTGCGTTAATTGTGTAGTTAATTATTAACATATTACGAATCAATACATAATCGATTATTGAATTAAGTTAATTGACAAAATAATAATTTAAAATAAATTATCATATCATATACAGTGGTATAGAAAAGTGTAAAATCTAATTTCAGGGGACGTGTAGCAGACATTTTTTTTTCAATTTTAGTTTTTCATATGAATATTGACCTAGGAATTCGAATTCCTTCATCAACATCCAAGGTACGAAATACCCTTGCCGTTGGTTTTATTTTCGACATAGCAAATGACGATACAGAATGTTTACTACTTTGTCAATATTCAATTTGTCATTTATAAAAGAAAAATACTATTAAAAAAAATCCGTGTGGTGTCGTGGGACACCCGATAGGAACGAAGTTGTGACGATCGAGTAAAACTGATTCGATACGATTTTAATTACAACGTCATCTATGAAAGCGGCTATTACCTACATATTTTTCAGTTGGTTTCTAATTAAAACAATTTATACATTGGTAAAATCTCCTTGAGAAATGATGTCGAATACAATATTTTTTGCTCAACCTAAGAACATAAATTTTAATTTTACTGAGATGAAAAGTAATGATTTCCTATCTATTGGATAGATGGCGCTGAATGACTGACAAGTGACAATTCAAAATAAAAAGTGTCGTTACAACTTTTCGTGAGATTTTTTTTCGTCTAGCCACTTTCACAACGCGCGATAAGGAACTTCGTTCCAAAAAAAACCACAAGTTTGCCTAAAATTGTTAGCGCAATACTTTTCTCATGGCATCAAGTGTATCACATCACATCACCAGCCTTGAATAATCCACTGCTGGACATAGGCCTCTCCTTAGAAAGGAGGTTTTGGCCTACTATACAACGCTGGCCAGACGGGTTGGTATAGACCAACCCGTCTGGCCAGCGTTGTATAGTAGGCCAAAACCTATGGTTTGGGTCAAGTTTTCCTTCTCTTTGCAGTACTGTTGTCCTGCGTAGTTTGCTCCCTTCGTCAGCTCTTACGACACCCACGGGATGAATAAGGGGTGGTGACACTCCGTATTCTTAATCCGTCACCACACGGACTATCTATCTATCTTCACGGACTATCAAGTGTTTATAAACCGTAAAGTACGAGCACACATTTCTGTTACAGCCTGTATAACGTGATTAAATTAATTAATGTTATTATATTTTACATTTAATTAAATTATCATTCTTTGTAATCGAACGTTATGTATAATCTACGTGTTAATCTAACATCACTTTTAGTAATTAGAAAGTAATTATAACAAACGTAGCTCCTAAATTGTTTTTTAAATACATTGCTGCAACATTAGAGGTTACTTTATACAGAAGTAACATACGATATACATGATTCATTTACGTATATTGTTTCAGTAATGGTATGACGGGCCTGTTGGTCTAGTGGTTAGTGACCCTGACTGCTAAGCCGGAGGTCGTGGGTTCGATTCCCACCCAGGACAAATAATTGTGTGATGAGCACGATCATTTGTTCTGTGTCTGGGTGTAATTTATCTATATTATGTTTGTATTTAGAAATATATAAGTATGTTTATCAGCAGTCTGATTACCATAGTACAGGCTCTGCCTAGTTTGGGATCAGACAGCCGTGTGCGATGTGTAAAATTATAAAAAAAAAATGGTATAAGTCATCGCCATTATCTGCTCTCAGTTTGCCCAATTTTTTTTGTGTACGTGGTCAACTGGAGTCCCTGTTCTAGTGGCCTATCTGATCATAGCAAAGTACCAGTGGCTTCTTTGGGCTACAGTAGTCTCAGTGTGGTAACAAGTGGTAAACAAGTGTAATTTCCTTCTAACACAAAGGGAGGATACTCCGACCAGGCAGGTGATTACAGCCGCGGCCCAACGGGTAATGTTGGGAAGTTGTATAAATGCTAATCGGTACGAGAACCTTTCCTATACAGGATTAGCAATTACTTCTTAGTGAAACGTGTTTTTGTTAGATGCCACTAAAGTACTTATATTTTTGTTTTAATGAGAAGTGGAAGTCACCACATTAGTTCAATTTCCCCACCAAAACTATATATCGGTGACTGTATAAATTCTATTTATTCAGTGTTTTATAATATGACGTGACGAAATAATGATTTGTGACATTCATGTATTTTCTAATTGTATTGGTATTTTGGTAATTGGTAATTTTATTTTCTTTACTTATAATTATTATTTCTAGTTATTTTGTTGTTAAATTTCATGTATTCTGATATATATATCTGGAATTTTTTTTTTGTCTAATGTTGACTCTTTCGACATCACAAATTTGTATTCTGTACTACGGATTAAAAATAAAAAAATAAACGATATTATTATAAGTATCTATCAGTATCACTAACCCTACCTCACTATCAATTTTTCTGAATCCTACCTTCTCAATTTATCCTGTCTTAAATAATTACCTTAAAGCCAGAAACCAGTCCCTTATTCAAACTCTTGTTACATATTACGCGCCGAACCCATTTTGATTTGGTAGAAGTGTAAGGAGATGCTGACGACATGTTTGTATGTTCTCGTAAAACAGGATTGTTTATTTCATACATTATCAAACATAACCGTAGTATTGACAAACATAAAAATACCTTTAGCATACAATGTTAAACCGACAAATTATTTAAGGTCTGTAAACTTGTTTGTTTATTAGCTTAGAAGTCGATAAGTAATGTAAATCGATCATGCGGAAGCCACATTTATCTCGCGGTTAAGCGTTTGTAAATGATATTGAGTATGTCTTAGAGATAGGCTGGTGGTTATGGACGACAAATCATTAGGATTTGACTGTTTGTATCTCTAACCATTAATTTGGACTGTATAGACTTTCTATGCTATGATAAGACACACAATACAGTAAACACATGTAGCTCCTGTTAGCCGTTTTCGCATATTTCTTAAGCTTATAACTGCTAGTTGTAACTGCTTACAGTTGGTAGTACCTTCTAAATAATGTTTCTTTAATTGACTAGAACGTTCCTGGATTAAGATGATACCTATAAGAGACAGACAGGTAGAGAAAAGAGAGAGGATAGAAGGAAATGGTAAAGAAAAAAGGGTGAGAGGGAGAGCGTCCTCAAGTTTGGCATGTTAATGATATCTGTTAGTACTAACTTGCGCGACATATGCGTGGCGAGCGATGTGTAAAGCCGATGCCGCCGAACCCGCGCCTGCAGCTCGTGCAGCAAGTGCCGCAGCTGCATCAGAAGCACCAGGGATGCCATCGATACCAGCATGTTGCTGTACACCACCATGTGCAGCACGTGGATCAGCTCTACCACCAGCGACACCGACTAGGAAACACCAATGCATATACATTTTACAGTCAAAACTGATTATCGACCACAAGTAATCAACTAGCCTAGCAGTCTATGACCACAGCCAAGAAACCTGTTCGAAATTTCAGACTTTTCCTATGACATGATCGCATTAATTTCCATACATATTGGTATATAACGCGACAGTTACTAAAAGTAACCAAGTTGGTCAAAAGTAACAGGATTCAAGTGGAAAGAGCCGTTTTAACTTTATATTATTAGATAGTGATTTGATTGCAAAGGACAATGGCAGGCTTGCATGGGACTTTTCTATCTGATAGGGATACCAGATTTGGTTTACCAGGATGACTCACTTTATAAACGGTACAAATTTCATATTCATCCATCATATATTTCTAGGGGTACAGATTCTGCCGTTCTTTCTTATGGTTAGAAATATTTTTTACAGTATTTTTACTTTTTGTGTTTTTTATTTGTATTTTTTACAATATTTTTACTTTTAATAACCACAGCTTGAGTCAAAATAATTTATAACAGATTTGAATATTAAATACATTATCAAACCTAATGAAATAAATACCCAGAACCGGTCGAATAGTACTTTTGACTTGTTAAGAGTTTTGACTGCAACATCGATCACCTGTCTACAAACTTCAGCACTCAGACTCATTACTAATATATATATTTAAAAAAAAATAACATCAAGATAATTTAATTATAAGATAATCATCATCAACAGCATTTAATAGTCCACTGCTGAGGCTACCATACAGCGCTGACCAGGCGGGTTGGTAGAGGATTTCGTTAAAGTCTTAAATACGACAGTCTGCATTTTTAGGTGCATTATATATTTATTTTAATTTAATGCAAAGAAAAAACTGGATAGTAAAGTTACATATATTATAATTCATAGTAACGCAATCAACACGTTTAATCAAGCGCGCTTGCGCAACTGTAATATTATTTCAAATAATTAAACGCTTGCGTCACGAATAACCTCAGAGGCATGCAATGTATTTTGTCGTATCTATTGTTTTTGTTACAACAGAACATGAGAAGTAATAACTTGATGAATAAAAAAGCAATAATATTGGCTAACAAACGAGGGAGAGTGTTTTTCGGAAGTTATTGCTTAAATAATACACTTTCATCGATATTTTTTTGGAAATCATACTTCTAATGAGGCGATTGTTTGGTACTCAATCTCGCCTGAACGGCTGAACGCCTATTCTGTAGCAAATTTTATCTAGATCTACTAGATAAAATTTGCTACAGAATAGGCAATTGGAAAGAACAGCGTATTCTCTGAAAAAAAAAATTGTAGCGAAGAATTATTTAGAAACACTGTAAACCTTCATTTTTGCAAGTTATTTTACAAAGAACAAAATATAAACTTTATTACATTGTGCGAGAAATTAAAAAAAACATATTTCAAACTGTTTAGTGTCAGATCTAAAGTGTACTTCTTTTTCGTTTTTCCTTCCTTTAAAAAGTGTATCTGAACAGCTTTAATCAGTAAATCCCACATAATTGTTCAGTATTATCAGCCTCTATTATCTTAGAAACATTAATTGTATTAACATAATTATTTTTGATTCAAATTAGCGAGCAGCCATGCGTATGTCCTCGTTGCACTTAAACGGATTACGACGAACATTCCGACGAATTGAGAACCTCCTCCTTTTTTGAAGTCCGTTATAAAGAAACTAAACTTAATTTCTGTCAGGATTAGGCCACTTGCGATTGAGGAGGGAAATTTTGCAGCTTCCCTGGGGATAGGGCCTGGTTAGGCATGGTGCCAATTCGGGGAGGACCTGAAATAACATACTCCTGACTCCTGCGTCCCCAAGGACCAGGAGATCCGAAGGGATTTTCCACCTCGTTACCAAAAAAATAAGAGTAGGCTACTTACGTCAAATACAAGATGTGTGTAGTAGGCAACGGGTCCGGCCACGTCGCACTCGTACAATTGGAGAACGTACCGCGCCACCACGTGTAGGACCGCCACCAACACTAGTATGCACTGTATAATACAAACATTTACATTAGTCCCTTAGTCCTTAGTCCCATAAATTTCTGCGAGAGCTTAGCTACCTAAATAGGAGCTGGATTTTATGAACTTGGCTTTTCATCAAAAACATTATGATTGATTTTGATGAAAAAAACATTTCCACTAGCATGTTGTTTGGAATTCGTGGGTCCGATTCCCACATAGGACAAGAAATTGTGTGATGAGCCCGATAATTTGTTCTGTGTCTGGGTGTAATTTATAAGTATACTAGCTGACCCGGCAAACGTTGTATTGCAAAACAAAAAAAAAATAGGGATGGGTCACCCTTACCATTTAGGGGTATGAAAAATAGATGTTGGCCGATTCTCAGACCTACCCGATGTGCACACAAAATTTCATGAGAATCGGTCAAGCCGTTTCGGAGGAGTACGGGAACGAACATTGTGACACGAGAATTTTATATATAAGTATATATATCGTTTAGAAATTTAAAGAGTTGTTTGTTAGCGATCTGGTTACCATATTAGGGCTCTACGTACTCTGTCTAGTTTTATTTAGTGGAGAAGCCTGTTATGGGCTAATCGGGTTTTTCAAGACATAAAAATTCACGCTTTTGTCGTGAAGTATTGCACCAAAACTACATTCATAAATCACCACTGCGTTCAAGTCCAATTAAACTAATCGACGTACGTGTTATATCTACACACAAAAATACATTGTAATGTAATTAGTTAACATTTTACTATATTGTGTATAAGTAGGATAAATACCATACATTATCACGCACCGTAAAGATATAAAGTTACTTCTACCATAGTTTTTTTTTTATGTTAGAGGGGGCAGACGAGCACGAGCATGTTAGTCGGGTCACCTGATGGAAAGTGACCATCGCCGCCCATGAACGTCTGCAACTTAGGAGTCACAAACGCGTTGCCGACCTTTTAGGAAGATATGTGTCAGATCTGTCTTCTTCTTCTTCGTTTTTCCTTATTTAAAAAAGTGTATCTGAATAACTTTTTTCCTTGGATCTCGTAATTAAAAACTAGGAAAGACCTGTTGGTCTAGTGGTTAGTGACCCTGATTGTTACTCCAGAGGTCGTTTCGAGGGTTAGATTCAAACAAATAATTGTGTGATGAATACGGTCGTTTGTATGAGTCCGGGTGTAATTTATCTATAATATGTACGTATTAGAGATATATAAGCATGTTTATCAGCAGTCTGATTATATTACCATAGTACAGATAGAGGCCTAGTTTGGGATCAGACGGACGTGTGAGATGTGTTTTTATTAAATTAAAATGATTAAATATTATATTAGGCGTCAAAACGATCTATTTATGGTTTGAATTCGAATAAAAAACCATAAACTTAGTAATAATAGTAATATTATTACTATGCGGTTAAATATAACAATGATAATAAAACAAAGTCCCTAGATTTATCAGTTGAAATGAAGTAAATAAAAGCAATCGTTAGTAGACAGCTGGATTTATCGATCGAAATGTAACGAACAAAAATAAAGTCACCCATTTATGGTCGAATTTGTCGGTCAAAATGTCAGAAGTAAAAACAGTTGCTGAAGACAGCATTTCCGCTTGCTTGTATCGAATAATGTAAAATAGTTACAATTACTTTTCAAGGACAAAAACTTTCGCTTTATAATAATAATCTTTATTGTAACAATAAGCCTGACTGTATGTGTAGGGAGTTAGTTCCTTCTCAAAGACAAGGTAAACAAATAGTTACAATAGTAGACACAATTTAGTTAAGTATGTTTAATTGGATATGCTTGTGTGTGGGTGTGTGGTGTGTGTGAGGCTGGGAGAGAGGGTATGTGTGTGGTGTGAGTGAGGGTGTGTGTGACATTATTCAAGTTTTCATCAGTTCACTAGTAGGCTTTCAACGTCATCAAATCCCATATTTTTAAACCACAATTTTATAATATTTTTTATTTTAAAGTTAGTTATTTATGATACAAGTATCTTGGACTGAGAATTTTTGGTAAAAGTAATCATGTATTACGCACCTCAGCAGCCATAAAGGCAAAGGTATCCCGTCCGGCAGGCAGTCCCCAGGCCGCAGCGGCCCCAAGCAACGCGGTGGCGGCAGTCAAGATACCGCCAAGAAGGCAGGCCAGGCGCACATGGACCCAACCTTCCGTGTTCGGCGACGAAGACAGCTGAGGAAACAAACAGAAAAGCAGTGGTTAAAATAACGTGTTTTATTGTATATTATGTGTGGTGGTGTGTGGTGACGAATTAAGAATACAGAGTGTCACCACCCCTATTCATTCCGTGGGTGTCGTAAGAGCCGACTTAGGGAAAAACTCTTTTGTCATTAACAGATAGACCGATTGTAGTTTTTTTTTATTATTATTATTGAATATTTTTAATTTAAATAATATTTTATTTTTACGCCGGTATAGAAAGGACTAGAAATGATTGAGCCGTTGTTAATTTTTTGATACCTTACATGATCATGTACTTCGCGGCGTTATCTGTTTATGCAAATAAATTGTATCTCATTTTAAATTATCGCAACCCTATCATTAAAACATCAAACAGTAACAGAGTAATTAAATAAATGATGGACGATACTAATTATGTTGAACTGCAGGCGTGTATTGCATAAATTAACGCAACCTTATCTTCAAGATTAATTTATTAAAAACATTTGTTACATCAGATAGAACGTTTTGAACTAGAATTATGCAGTTTGATTATATTTTGGACATCAGTAATATTATTTTTATTATAATCGATGTTGTATCATACCATTCCAAATCCTGTCTATTCAAGGCGACTGCCTTCTAGTATTTTCGAAAGGCGTGCGACTTGACGCCATTGACCTGTGTTTAAATAATGTCGGAGGTTTTATTGGCCTAATTTTTAAATGGGATAAAATGGTATTAATTTTATTGCTATTTAAGGTAAGTGCTACTTCGGTATATAAACTTTCTTGGCGTCTACGAAATCTAAGTATTCATTTTTAAATACAAATCAGCTAAAACTGTTCGCAATGCTCTTTTTTTTTAAGGGAAAAATCAGACATAACCCTTTGTGATGTTTAACATTGCGCCAACCCTAAATAAAATTGGAAAAGGGTTGGACGATAGTGGTGCTAATTTTTAGTGACATTTAGTTTAGTTTAGAGAGTTTTCTAACAAGAGAATTAGCACCAGTGACGAGGATATGAAGTGCGTCTATATCACACCAGAGCAAAGCATCTATTTTACGTTGTGAATAAAGAAATCCCCGATGATCTGCAGATATACTCACAAGCAAGGGTGGAGGATATAACGCGAGCCATCGATGACGTCAACAGAGACCTTGATTTTATAAAATCCTGGTCGATCAGATTCGGATTGTCAGTAAACCCTACTAAATGCCAGGCGATCGTAGTCGGCAGCAAACATATGATTGGAAGATTGGATACTACATCAGTCCCACCAGTCATCTTCAACAGCTCAGTTATACCTTGGAGTCCGGTAGTCAAAGACCTAGGCCTGCTCATCGACTCAACCCTAGATTGGCGTGCTCAAGTTACTCATGTGAGCCAAAAAGTAACGGGTAACCTGCGAACACTATACCGACTTAAAAACTTCTTGCCCACTAAAACGAAAACCTCTCTCATGCAGTCCCTAATTGTTCCTATAATTGACTATGGTGATGTGTGTTACTTCGACCTGAATGCAGACCTCCTCAATAAGCTAGACCGTCTTCTCAATAACTGCATTCGATACATATTCAATCTTCGCAAGTATGACCATGTGTCTGCTTTACGCTCCCAATTAAAATGGCTACCTATTCGCTTGCGTCGCAATCAGCGAGCGCTGACCTCTCTCTTTTCATTCCTCAACTGCCCATTTTCACCCACCTACCTCGATTCTTACATCCGTTTCTTGTCCTCTAATCACGACAGAAATCTTAGATCAACGAATAATTTGCTTCTCTTGTGTCCCCCCCACAACTCAGACTTCGTGAACTCCTCGTTCTTTGTACAAGTAGTTCTGCTCTGGAATGCGCTCCCACTCGAAATCAGGATGTCCACAAACCGTTTCGCATTTAAAAGGAATGTACATAATTACCTTCTTGAGGAGATGGCGGGAGTGACTTAACAAATGGTACACCTCCTAAATTGAAGCATTCACAGTGTACAAACATAAATAATATGTATTTATATCTATATTTATTTCTATATATATGTGTAATTATATTTGTATTACATTATAACTTATATGCATAATATTTGTAGATTTTGCTTAGTTTTAGATAAACAATTATTTACAATCATTGATACAATCGTAACCTCGGTGCACCTACCCTACAAGATTTCTACACCACCTAAAGGTTGGCTGGTAGAGAATGCCCAGGGCATTAAGTCCGCCGATGTACATAAGTGCATGAAGATGTAAAATAAATAAAATAAATAAATAAGCATTTAGCTTGAACAGTTCAAAGTGTAAAATGACATCAGTTTGTTTATGCCTTGAATCATCACATTTAGCCAATGATTTAGTGAAATGACTCTTTGTTCATGTTTTCACACTACCTTAAGTACTAATAAGAAAAACATATAATAATAATATTTTGCCTATGCTGTACCTGGTTTTATTTATCAATAACATGATTAGGTAATCATACATAATCTATAGGTAATAGACTTATCACTAAGCAATATAGGAATCTAACCATTTTTTTTATACACTATAATAAAAAGACGCATAAAAGCAATAGAAGTTGAAATTTACTACCAAATAATTATAAGTTTATTGATATCCATTACCCATGTAATACCTATATTCCATTTCTTAACCTTTATATTACGTTAACAGGGTGTCTACAACAATCTATGCTCCCAAGCGCCGAAACTAGGCCAGGATGTGTCCTGGCCTAGCTTCGGCGCACAGGCACAGACACAAACAAGACACAGGGTCTTAAACGTCAGTTTCATCGAAAGAATGAAGTAAAATCTAAGTAGACATATGTATGTGTATTTAATTTTAAATAATAGCTGGGCACACTTATAAAATGTACTTAGGTAAGTTACATACATATAGTTCAAGAATATGAAAATGAGAACTCATTTGAGCTCTTGAATTTTGAGTCTCGAAGAGACCGTTACTAGTATTTTTAGTTAAACAGAGTTCTAAGTTAACCAGCTGGTTTTCTGTAAAACATGTTGAAAATAATCAAGGAATAGCCTGAGCGTATTTCAGCTGTGCCCTGATTAGGGGAAGATGTTTAGATAAAAATGTATTAATACTTACGTATTCGTACCTATCCTTGCATAACTGTCCCAGTAGATGAAGAAAGCCAACGAGAGTAAACCAGGAGCACCACAGAAGCACTTCATCCATGTATTGAACATTGATGACGCCGAATACGAATATGAATTTATAGAAGACATAATTCCAGAATTTGTCTTTAACGCGTTGGGCCTCAGCGACACGGAGTTGACCAAATACGAGTCGTTGGACGCCGAAGCCGAATACGGCGAGTGAGCAGTATGCTAGGTTGATCAGGGTCTGAAACAACATATATAAAGAACATGTTAAATATGGAATACTTAACACAGTCATTTGTTCTGTGTCTGGGTGTAATTTATCTATAACATGTATGTATTTAAAAATATATATGTATGTTTATCAGCAGTCTGGTTACTATAGTACAGGCTCTGCCTAGTTTGGGATCAGACGGCCGTGTGTGAGACGTGTGAGGTATATTTTTATATTTTATTATTATTATATTGTAGTTTGGCTAGTTCATGAAATGTTATTTCTTAAACAATTATTATAAGTTATATAACTACAGGACAATTTACGATAATACGAGTTAAAATATTGCGTTAATCCTCTCATAATTTAAACTAATAAAGACTGCTTCTCGCTCAGTAATTAAGATGTTAAATTCTTTTAGTACATTTCTCTGATAAGTCTTCCCAAATGTTTTAGATAAGCGTTTTATATTGGACTTAATTAACTGTTATTTGTTATTATGTACCACTTTTTAAAGATTAATGTATGTGCTCCATTTCTTTTTTGGTTCAGATTGATAATATCAAGGAAGTGACATGAGAACCAGTTGTCAAGATATAATAAAATTATATCGTTTGTAAATATTTCTATGTCAATAAAATATACCATTTTGATTGTATTACCGTACCCGTTTGACTTGAATAAAAATAATATATAATATTTTTAACACATAACGCCAACCGGTTTTGGGTTCCGTACCCAAAGGGTAAAACGGGACCCTATTACTAAGACTTCGCTGTCCGTCCGTCTGTCTGTCACCGGGCTGTATCTCATGAACCGTGATAGTTGGACAGTTGACATTTTCACAGATGATGTATTTCTGTTGCCGCTATAACAACAAATACTAAAAATCTCCCGTACAACAAACGGATTTTTTTTGTTCGATATTGATAACGGCAACAAACGTAACAGAAACATTCACAGAATATTTAGTTATATATTCACTTTAAAAATAAATAATTAAATTAAAATAAAACAAATACTTAGGGGGGGGGGGGGGGGGGAGGCTTAAAAAGGCTTAAAAAAGGTTTTTGTGTACATAATTTTCTTCAGAATTTTCTAAATCGACTTTTTTTTTTGTAATCATGTAAGGGTGGTTTAACGGGTAATATAAGATTACACACATGCACTAAAATTAAAGAAATTGTATGTACATCGTTGATTGCCACAATTACGTGGTATGATTCATAAGTAAGTTTAAGTCGACAAAGGCCCACCTTATATAGAACGCATTCAGCTTTTGTATACTTATTTGGCAACTACAGCTGTGCAAGTTGTTATGTAAGGCGCTGACTGGATAGCAGCCAATGGCCGGTTGCTGTGTTAACATTTTTAACAAAATATTAAAAGGCCCATAGACTGAGAATTACTGATATGGTTTATCTTATCAATCAATCTCAGTCTGTGGGCCTTTTTTTTTTTTCGTGCGGAAATCCCCTCGGACACCACCTGTCGGTGGCATGTCGGACACGAACCGACTAAAACCGCACGCCGTCTCGGGTACTAATAGCCGGGGAACCAGGTATACCCTAGAAAGGAAGTCCCTGGTGCCCCGACATACCTCGGGTCGTCTACAGACGAGTAGACGACCCCCTCCCCCGTGTGGGAACCCCATGTTCCCTGTGCTCCCTGGAAGCGAGCGCGCTTCGCAACGCGCTCGCCGCAGACTGGATTTGTTTTGCTTTCATACAATGCTAACATAACTGAAATGACACTTCTTCAGAGTTAGATGAATATTTATGGATACTTTAAATAAATTTATTATAAAGTATGTCGTATGCATTTGGGCGAATCGTATGAGTAATTATTCTTCTAACAGTGTATTAGCATTATGTATTATTATGTTACATGTTCGTCGTGATCTAGGTCCCACAGTATTGAGAACAAGGGTAAACAGTTAGTGTCATTATGAAGACAGACGGCTGAGAGTTTATATATAAAAAGAAAAACTATTTTATTTAACACGTATCTATTTATATAAAAATGCTCAAATTTTGTCACGAAATAGTTTTGTTCCTCACTTCTCATAAATTAAACTACAATAAGCCACAGTGAAGCGTGTCAGAGTATGGCTAGTTTTTTTAATAAAGATATTTATTAACTTGTTTATGAAGTGGTTTTAAAACAGCACGTGTTAGAATACGAAAAATATAATGTAAACAGTTTAATAAACGCAGGTTGATGGATGCACGAGTGGATTCAGTGAAACTCTAGAGTCAATTGCCAACTTTTATTAATTTGTACATTACAATATGTGTGTGTGAGTGAATGTTTATCTGTGTGTTCGGCTGATGTATGATTGTGTATGTGCATATGTGTTCCAACACACAACTATTTAGGATATTATTAAGAGCATTCTATGTTTAATGTGAAGCATTATTATGCTGCTGTCAACAACAACAACAAGACAACATTCCAGGCTGTTTTACAACAGTTGCGTTAAGCTAAAACAAATAACTTACCGACTCTAATATATTTATAGGGTATTATAACAAAAAACACCGGGAAATATATAATGTTAAAACAGGTTATCAGAAATGTAAGCTTTCGAAATAAAAATATAGATCAGTTGAATTGTTGCGCCAAAAAGATTAACTGATTGCGACAATCTTATCGATTTTATATACATGTGAAATGGGTTGTCTGTTAGTGTCAACATTAATAATATATAATATAATAATAATATATTCTACCTCATACACACAACGCCATCTAGTCCCAAACTAAGCAGAGCTTGTACTATGGGTACTAGACAACTGATATAAATACATATACACTTTTTTTTTTGTAAATACATACATAATACACATAGTTATACATTAACAATATTTATTGAGGTCATAACTTGAATCCCGATAATGAGTATGACAAATGTCAAACCCTCGTGTCTCAGAGATCTTATCTTAAGGTCAGTTTTTTTTTTATGGCATACGGGGGCAAGCGAGCTGGCGGGTCACCTGATAGTAAGCAACTACCGCCGCCCATGAACACCTGCGACTTCAAAATCACAAGTGTGTTGCTGCCCTTGGAGTCCCTCCCGAGTCACGGGGGATTTGGGCTCCGGTAACCTCACTCACTCAGTGAAAGGCAACGAAAGATTTGCTTAACAACGGTTTTCTGTGAGCACGTGGTATCACTCCGGTCGAGCCGGCCCATTCGTGCCGAAGCATGGCTCTCTCACGGTGTATGTTTAAAGTAGCATATTGTAATTAAATCAACATCGTTTAACATCACACATCACAACAACAGCCTTTAATAGTCCACTGCTGGACATAGGCCTCTCCTTACAAATGAGGCCAACATAGTTTACAAACATGGAACTGCAATTACTGCATTTAGTTCTCAAACAATCTGAAATTGGTCTTGGTTTGGCCTTCAAATTTTAAATATGTGCAATAACAAAAATCTGAGATTTAAACGTGTCATTCTAAATGTCAAAAGCCTAATTTATTTCGGTCTTGGATTCGGAGATCGTCTTTCATCTATTAACGAAAAAGGTGACAATGAAGGCGAATGGTATACTACTTGATGTCTATCTGAACACTGGACATCCAAAATTTCTCTTCCGCTTTCGTCACAGAAAGTTACCGCATGGTGTTAAAATCTGCGCATGTTTTTTTTTTATAATTTAGGGCGGCAAACGAGTTACCTGATGGAAATTGACTACCACCGCCCATGAAACCCTGAAACTCAGAAGTCACAAACGTATTGCGCATTACATGATCATATATCTCATATATCTGATTAGTTTTTCAGCAGTGGATGCAATTTTGAAATTATTCCTTACATACTTTTAAGTTTTTTCACTTTTACGACTCTTTGTTTAGAGTCACTCAATTCGCCTAACGGTATTTTTTGTATCGTAAGTTTCGCTAACGTACAGTAAAACAAGTCATACGGGTGTTTTGACCTTGTCTTTGGGTTTAAAGTTTAATATATGATCATAAAGATTACTACTCTTAGTAGTAAACATAACATTAACCGCAGATGAAGTTTTAACTCGGTTAAATAACATAGCGGTTTTATTATTAAGGTCAATCACTCGGACCATAAACGTGCGCTGAATGTTTTACTTCATAGATTAAGAACGCATGCAATCTTTAACACTGCCATCTTTGAATGCCAAGCCAACAATATTGTAGTTGGCTGTCATATCAAATTAGTTTATTTTTTAACGTTAACATGGAAAATTGTAGAAATAATAACGGTTCGTTTCGGACCACTCGGAGGATCTTTATCAAGGTGTGAGGCGACCTTTCGTGTTGGTATCAAGTTAAGGTCTAACGACAGGCCCGTTGGTCTAGTGGTTAGTGATACTGGCTGCTAAGCCGGTGGTCGTGGGTTCGATTCCCACTTAGGACAAATAATTATGTGATGGGCACGATGATTTGTTCTGTGTCTGGGTGTAATTTATCTATGATATGTATGTGTTTACAAATGTATAAGTATGTTTATAAGCAGTCTGGTGACCATAGTACAGGCTCTGCCTAGTTTGGAACCAGATGGCCGTGTGTAAGATGTGTCAAGCTATTAAAAAAAAACTCCTAAATGACACACGTGTGTCCTTTAAGTATAATTTGTACGTTTAAAATTTACTCACATAGTTTTTATTCCAAGGGAGATACATGCTTCAGCACGGCACAAACGGGCAAAACTCGAGCAATTCTTTCATTGAGTTAGTAAGTTACCAGAGTTCAAACTCTCTCTCCCCCTAATCCTAGGGAGAGGTACTCAAAGGGTGACAACGCATTTGTGACTCTTGAGTCGCATTTGTCCATGACCGGCGGTAGTTGCTTACCATCAGGCGACCAGCGTGCTCAATGGTTTTAACATTTTAAATAATATTGAAAATGAATATGAGTTTTTTCTATATGTGAAATAATAAGACATTTTTATGAGTACTAGTAATCAATAATTTATTTTACCTAAAGTTCATTAACCTAATCTCTAAATCACCTTGTTTTCAAGTTGTTTTCGAGAGTCATTACCAG